GAGGGAGAAATGGGGGATATGTGGTGCCCTTTCTAATCACTTGGAAGACTGGAACACCCGATTGTATTGGGGTTCCTCTAAGGTCTTCATGATATCCTTCCAACAAAGTTCTCCTTTTCATTTAGGCAGCTCAAATGAGTTCCTATTACTTGCCAAAATATGAGATTTGACAAAGACCATCTAAATTGATATGGAGTCATCCAAGTGGTTGATGGGAGCCATCCACGGTTCCTGAAGGAGCTCCAAACATTCAGCTGCAGGAGTTGTGGCAGAAGGGGTTCAGAAGAGTCTGACTGGTGGTGAGATCAGGGAGGAGGCCTTGCTAATCTTTTAGATACCAGAGATAGTTGCCGCTCCCCACAAACACTCCACCTCATTAAACAGTGCAAACACATCACACAGTAATAAGCCTCCATGTTCTCTTTGATTTGTTTCCTAGATAAACTCAAGCTACCTAGTGAGAAGACAGGAGATATTTCCCTTCTGCCCACTTAGGTAGAGTGATGGAAGGGAGTTCTCTTTCCTCAGTGCAACAAATAAAACACGCTGAACATAGTGATAGCCCCATGATATATGTAGCAGGCCACACTTGGGTTTAGGTCACTTCTGAAGTTTAAGAATGACTGGGCATGCCTGGAGAATTAACAAAAGTGACCCTACAGAAAACCTTTTCAAGAGGGAGTAGAGGAACTTCCTGAAGGTGAGTGGGGGTGCAGGGGGAGGCTCAGAATAAACTTGATCCAGGGATAAAGACTTAGTTGTCAGAGGTGAGTATTGATGCTTCACATACATAGTGGCTATTTTTCAAGTATATGTCTGGCTCAGGCCCCTGAATATAAATCAGGGTTCAAAAGAGACAGATTAAGAAAAGGAACATGAGTAAAACCTGAAAGAGCAACTTCACTAGACTGCACACACTGGAGCCCAAGAAGTAGTGCCTGGGGACACCTTCTCTCGATGTAACAACAGAGAGAGTCTCCTCAACTCTACCACAATCTCCCCTCAGCTTTGGCATTTTCACAGGTTTGAGGCCAACAGTCAAGAATTGCTATATCTATATCTCCTAGGACAAAGGAAACAAAGGAAAAAAATAAATGGGATTACATCAAACTAACAAGCTTCTGCACAGCAAAAGAAACCATCAACAAAATGAAAATGGAACCCACTGTATGGGAGAGCATATGTGCCAATGATACATCTGATAGGGAGGTAATTTCCAAAATTTATAAAGTGTTTATACAACTCAACACCAGGAAGACAAACAATCCAATTAAAAAATGGGCAAAACCTGAATAGACACTTTTCCAAAGAGTACATACAGATGCCGATAGACATATGAAAAAAAAATGTGCAACATCATTAATCACCAGAGAAATGCAAATTAAATCCACGATGAGGTATCACCTTACACCTGTCAGAATGGCCATCATCGATAAATCAACAAAAAACAAGTGCTGGAGAGGATGTGGAAAAAGGGGAACCCTAGTTCATTGTTCGTGAGAATGCAGACTGGTACAGCCACTGTGGAAAGCAGTATGGAGTTTCCTCAAAAAATTAAAATGGTACTTGCGGCAAGATGGAGCCATAGGTGGATGCACCATACCTCCACACATAAGTAAGATTGGAACAACAACAATTTAGAGGCAGAATAACACCCAGAACTGATAGAAAATTTATCTGAATGGAAGTCGGACAGCCAAGAAGTTGTAATAGACCCGTTCATCCAGACTGGTAAGAGGGGCGGAGACCAGCAGCCGGGCGCGGGTTGGGTCGCTGTGCGGAGAACAGGGAGAATTGGGTGCATAAGGCAACCAGGAGCGTGTAAGGCATCTGGGGCGCACAGGATCGCAGCGGGTGGACCCTGAGTACACAGGCGGCATCTGGCAGACCCAGTGGGGCAGCGATTGTGGAGCAGGGCAGAGCACACAGCCCAGGATCCCAGGGAAGGGACTGAGGTCCCACGGAGAACAGAGCTACTGCCATTGTTCCCTCTCAACCCCGCCCTCACATTCAACGTCACAATCTGGCGACTGGGGTGCCCAGCCCTGGGGAACACCTAAGGCTCCACCCCTCACCATAACAGCAGTGACCAGACCAAAAAAAAAAAAAAAGAAAAGAAAAGAAAAGAGAGAGAGAGAGAGATGGCTTAAACAGAACAAATCAGTGCCCCAGAACTCATCATTTTGAGCAACCAAGAGATAGCTAACCTATCAGATGCACAGTTCAAAACACTGGTGATCAGGAAGCTCACAGAATTGGTTGATTTTGGTTGCAAATTACATGAACAAATGCAGGTTACCATAAAAGAAATGAAGGAAAATGCATAGGGAACCAATAGTGATGGGAATGAAACTGGGACTCAAAACAGTAGAGTGGACTAGAAGGAAGAAAGAAACAACCAAACAGAAAGGAATGGAGAAATAAGAATTCAAAAAAACAAGGAGAAGCTCAGGAACCTCCAGGACAACTTTAAACGTTCCAACATCTGAATTATAGGGGTACCAGAAGGGGAAGAGGTAGAGCAACAGTTTGAAAATGTATTTGAACAAATAATAAAGGAGAACTTCCCCATTCTGGCAAAGGAAATAGACTTCCAGGAAGTCCAGGAAGCTCAGAGAGTCCCAAAGAAGTTGGACCCAAGAAGAAACACACCGAGGCACATTGTAATTCCATTAGCCAAGGTAAAAATGAAGGAGAGAACCCTAGAAGCAGCAAGAGATAAGGGGACAGTAACCCACAAAGGAGTTCCCATCAGACTGTCAGCTGATTTCTCAAAAGAGACCTTACAGGCAAGAAGGGGCTGGAAAGAAGTATTCCAAGTCATGAAAGACAAGGACCTATATCCCAGATTACCAGCAAAGATTGCTATCCAGCAAAGCTTTCATTTAGAATGGAAGGGCAGATAAAGTGCTTCTCAGACAAGGTCAAGTTAAAGGAGTTCATCATCACCAAGCCCTTATTTTATGAAATGTTAAAGGGACTTACCTAAGAAAAGAAGATTAAAAAAAAAACATGTATAGTAAAAGGACAGCAAACTCACAATTATTAACAACCACACCTAAAGCAAAACCAAAAGAAACTAAGCAAACAACTAGAACAGGAACAGAACCACAGAAATGGAGATTACATGGAGGGTTAGCAACAGGGGGGTGGGAGGAGGAGAGAGGGGGAAAAGGTACAGAGAATAAGTAGCATAGATTGTAGGTAGGAAATAGACAGGGGGAGGGTAAGAATAGTATGAGAAATGTAAAAGCTAAAGAACTTATAAGTATGACACATGGACATGAACTAAAGGCGGGGGGGAAGTGGGTGGGAGGGGGTGTGCAGGGTGGAGGGGAGTGAAGGGGGAAATGGGACAATTGTAATAGCATAATCAATAAAATATATTTTTTAAAAAATTAAAATGGATTTGCCTTTTGACCCAGTGATCCCACTTCAGGGAATATACCCTAAGAATCCCAAAATACCAATCAGGAAGAATATATGCATCCCTATATTCACTGCAGCATTATTTACAATAGCCAAGATTTGGAAACAGCCCAAGTGCCCATCAGTAGATGAGTGGATAAAAAAGATATAGTACATTTACACGATGGAATACTGCACAACTGCTAAAAAAAAAAAAGAAGAATTCTTACCCTTTTCAAAAGCATGGATGAACCTGGAGATCATTATGCTAAGCGAAATAAGCCAGTCAAAGAACAACAAATACCATATAATCTCTCTTACATGTGGAATCTAATTAACAAAGTAAACTGACGAACAAAATAGAACCAGAGGCATGGATATGTGGAGCAGGCTGACAGCTGTCAGAAGGGAGGGGAGTGGGGGGCCTGAATGAAGGGAAGTGAAGAGATTAGCCATACAGGGTCCGGCAGAAGTACCACTGTTGAGTGTTGTTGGTAGGGTGCGTGAATGTCTTGCATGAGACAGCAATTTGAAATTTCATCTAAAATGTCATATGGTGCGCTTGAGTGTGATATTGTTATGTTACAGAATTACATGGTTATGATTTTGTAAAAAAAATATTTTTATGTAATAAAAGAGGGCCGTCATTTGTGCTGGGCCCTGCATATGCACAGCCCATTGCCAGGGAAGAGAGGGGGCAGGGGCTGCAAGGAGGTGGGCAAAGGAAGGGGGAAATGGATAACATTTGTAATGGTGCCGACAATCTAAAAAAATGCTATATGTAAGGTTTTGGCTACAGGACAATAGCCAAGGTGTGATCAGGAGCGGCTCACATGCCAGGGAGTAGAGCACAAGTAAAATACCACTGGACTCTCTGGAGTTACATGGGAATTTGCAGGAAGCTGGAGATCTTTTACTAGCGGGTGGGAACAATATGAGAATATTAAGATTAATATGATCCTATTTCAACTCACAGATTGGTGAGTCCCATAGAAATCTGAGCTACATACAGAGGAAGGAACCGAGACCCGAGGAGGTGAAATTCAACTGCACAATGTGGCAAAACACATTGTCAGGAACATGTTCCCATGTCTCTGTCCTGAACTGTATGCTCTTTTGACCACAAAAATCAATCACATGCCTAGAAGCTGGAAATGGAGCCTCTGGAGTGAGGTCACGCCGTGACAACTGAGCCCCATGGACTGGACTATATGTGAACACCCAAGGCATGCAATCCTTACTTAGCAAATTCCTACCTGTGGTGCGTTCAGCTCAGCCCTCCCTCAGAAATTTTGTGGGAATTTTCTAGAGTTTTCCAGAACTTTAGAATGTCCTGGCCCACCTTGCCATGATGTCATAAGGGCCTCAGAATAGGGTGTTAGCCTCCAAGCCCACCCACTGTGGTCCTGATGGATTAAAGGGACATTGAGAATCTGCCCTGTTTTTGCCTGAGCTGTGACCTTTGTTGTAAGAATGAAATATAGGCATGCTGTCTCCCAGGGAGAACTGGCCCTTCTCCCTGGGGAGATTAGTACTTTTAATATTTAACAGTTCCTTCGGGGAGAACTGGCCCTTCTCCCAGAGGGACCTGTTGGTTAGTCAAATCACACAAGGTCCTTGGTGCGTAGCTACTTTTGTCTAGAACATATTTTACCATAGCCCCTGAAGTGAGACTTGGGAATCTCACTGGAAAGGAGGACGCTTTGCTCGGAACTTTTCCCAGTCGGACCCCGAATGCCATCTCTGGGATTCCCCAGTGTCTGATTTCCAGTGTTGGTGATTTCCCATCTGGTGATGTATGATCTTGACTCTTGCTTTCGCTTTGTTCTCACTTAATAAAGTGCTTAGCTATTCAACTTTGACTTGAGGTTTTCATTGTCTGTGAATTCAAACTTCCAAATTAAGTGGCCACGATCTCATGCATGCCCCTTAATGGCACAGGGCCCCACTGGGGCTTCCTCCCCTCTAGTGAATTCCTTTCCTCTCCTCTTCTCTGAGGCAGGTAGGAAGAAAGGTAAAGATCAATGTGGTGACTCAGATATTTGTGTCAGAACCATCCTGACAAAAGTGGCCTTTGTCACTGTACCCAGGAGGAAGCAGTGGGTGGGGAGCCTGGGCCAGGAGATAGCAGTTGATGGCAATGAGCAGCATTTGCACCAGCAAATCTTTTGTGTGAATCTGAAGAGAGAACTTTGCCCTTATATACAAAAAAGGGGTTCTATGGAAGTAACCTCACAGGGTAACCTGATCGTTAATTCCTAACTGAGCAAGTGATGATGGGTAGTCATGCCCCAGGTCTATACTTCTGTAGTAAAAAGCTTATTTTTACCTTAAGCAACCCCTGTCTATTGTTTCTGCGCCTTTAGGTTAACACACCATTGATATGCCCCCTTTCAGACCTCTCCTTCTGAAATACATCACCCATAAGAGAGTGTATAATCTTAACTATCTGTGTGATCTTTCTTATGGTCACTCTTTACTTTCTTTTTTTTTTAAGATTTTATTTATTTATTTTTAGAGAGAGGAAGGAAGAAAGAGAGGGAGAGAAACATGGATGTGTGAGAGATACATCAATTGGTTGCCTATTGAATGCCTCCAACTGAGGAGGCATTCGTGCCCTGACTGAGAATCGAATCTGTGACCTTTTGGTTCACAGGCCAGCACTTAATCTACTGAGTCACACAGTTAGCGCTCACACCGTAATTTCAAATGCACAAAAGAAACTGCAAACTGTTATTCTCTGGAGCATTTGAGATCCTGCTCCCCAGCATATGTAGTCAGTTTGACTCAAATAAACTCACAAATTCTCCACATGTTTGGATGTTTCTTACCCCAACACCTGATTAATGCTAGGTTTGTAGGCAGTTGGGCCTGGTGGACTGGTTGGGGTAGGAAGGCTTCAGCCTGCTTTTCCTGCTGCACTCTTCATCTGCCAGAGGCCCACAGGTCCCCAAGCATGCCCAGAGGCTCACTGCTGTCACACCCCTGATTTTCTACATTTCATTTGTTCAAGAGCCACAAGAGAGAAACAGTTCAGCGTGAGAGTATGTGTGGGCTAGGACTAGAGAGGCCTCTGGGAATGGAGGTAGCCTTCCAAGTTATCAATCACTGTTCCTCATTCAATGACCTCACGGTTTATCTCTCATGTCTACTTCTCTGTTGTTCTGCACCATTCTCCCTTTATTTATATCTCGTCAATTCTCTCTACAGTCTTGGAAGGAACCAACTGATTGCTTACCTGCCTCCAGCTTATTATTTATCTTTATATATTTATTAAGTAAATTCCTAACTCTAGAAATTTGGCCTTCTTCTTTTAACTCCTTCAACCTTTTCCTTTTGGAGATAGAGCTTATTGCTTCTGAGAGCCTAGACCTTGGAAAGCAAGAAGCTTCTGAACTATCCTCAGGAGCAAGGCAGCCCCAAACAAGCACTCACTCACTCAGTTAATATTTACTGAGTATGTGTATACCTACTCTGCTCCAGGCACTTTTTTAGGTACTGAGGATAGAGCAGTGAATAACAATAAATAATATTAATGTTCCAGGGGAGTTTGCATTTTAGTTAGGGAAGATGGGCAATAAATTGGATGAATAATTAGAAAGTATAAACAGAAGTCTCTAAGTGTTAAGGATCAAAGATCTAAAGGAGATAAAGGCAGGAGCCATAAGGCTTTCTTGAGAAAGTCCAGAGAGAGCACAGCGAGAGTAAGTACAAAGGCCCTGAGGCAGAGGTGTGCTGGAGTGATGGAAGAGAGTGGCTGGAAAGGAGTGAGCTAGAGGAGGGTGAGGTTAGAGAAATAATGAGATATTTGATAGGTTAAGGCTTTGTGGGCCACATCGAGAACTTTGGTTTGTAGTTTGAATGAAATGGAAAGCCAATGGAGGGATCTGAGTGAGAATGTGACACAGTCAGACATAGTTTCAAAGGATCCCTCTGGCTGCTGTATAGAGAATAGGCTGTAGCAGGGGCAAGGATGGAAAGAGGTAGACCAGTTAGGGGAGTGCCACAAAATCCAGGAGGCACAAGATGATGATTTTTTGGACCAGGGAATGACCAGTGATGGTGATAAAAAATGGCCGGACACAAAATCCTGTTTACTCTTTTAAGTGGAGCAATAGAAAATGCTCTCTCATTGTTTATTGATAAATCTATAGAAAAATAAGACATTATTACAATAATTTTACTTTACAAAGGACACAGGGGACTTGAGGTATCCAGACTGCTGGCTCTGTGTTAGATGCACAGATTCTGTGTGCCCCAGAACTTCCCAGTCTAGGATCGCATTTGTCATTCATCTATGAGATTATACATTTGAGTCCATTTTCATGATCTTGCATGGAACAATTCATAGTCAGTAGAGTAACCAAGCCATCTTGAAGAGAGCTGGTATCTGTTGGGTTCAGTCTATCCATGGCTACCTTTTCCCTGGGCATTGATTTTGGGTCAGTCAGCCATCACTTGACCAGCAGGATCAGTTTCACATTGTTCACTTGATGAAGCCAAGATGACATCATGTAGAAAGCACCTACTGAAACTGCTTTCCTTAGAAGAGGCTGCCAGTATGGCCAGTGCTTCAAGTTTCATATGCTCCTCTATGGATACTTGGTCTATTTGAACACTGATGAGAAGTTTTGTAATTTAGAGCACGGGGTATGGAGAGGCAATGAGCCTCTTGAAAGCCACGCCAATGAGCTTGGACTTGATTTTGTGTATGCAAAAGGGGAATCATGAGAGATTGTAAAGACTAAGAGAGAGATGCTCAGATTTCTCAAGGTGAATTTGGTAGTACCTGGAAGATAGAACCTTCTCTAGGGGTGGCCACCTGAGGAAAGGAAATTGGAGTAGCAATAATGGTTCTATTGAGACCTGATGGAATTGCAAACGAAAGGAATAGAAATGAGAGACAGTTTGGAGGCCTAGGGCCCTCAGAAAACTGACAGTCAGAGATATGACGAAGTCAGCCTTGACTAAGAAGTGTGTGTGAGTGTAAGGCACATCCTGCCTCAGGACATCCACCCTGCCTCTGGGGCTGAGAGTTCTGCAGCCCAAGTCTTCAGGGGAATTTCCTGCTGTCTGGGCATTGAGCCCCTGACTAATTTCCAGAATCCTTGGGGTTTACTTGTAGTTTGTAGCTTCCTCAGCTTTATAGTCCTCAACCAGAGCAAGAAAAAAGTATTCTTTTCTTCTTAAACAGAACATGATAAATATGTAAATGAATATATTTTGCCTGCTGAAACATACACATAACCTGTATCCAAGCAGTAGACACTTTGAGATTATTTCCTGAATTCCTTTTATCCCAGGTGTTGCTATGATACACTTAGAGCTTCTATAAACTTTTTTCCTTTTTTTAAATATATTTTATTGATTATGCTATTACAATTGTCCCATTTCCCCCCTTCACGCCCCTCTACCTGTACACCCTCTCCCACCCATTCCCTCCCTTTAGTTCATGTCCATGTGTCATAAGTTCTTTAGCTTTTACATTTCTCACACAATTCTTACCCTCCCCCTGTCTATTTCCTACCTACAATCTATGCTACTTATTCTCTGCACCTTTTCCCCCTCTCTCCTCCTCCCACTCCCCTGTTGCTAACCCTCCATGTGATCTCCATTTCTGTGGTTCTGTTCCTGTTCTAGTTGTTTGCTTAGTTTCTTTTGGTTTTGCTTTAGGTGTGGTTGTTAATAATTGTGAGTTTGCTGTCCTTTTACTATACATGTTTTTTTTTAATCTTCTTTTTCTTAGGTAAGTCCCTTTAACATTTCATAAAAATAAGGGCTTGGTGATGATGAACTCCTTTAACTTGACCTTGTCTGAGAAGCACTTTATCTGCCCTTCCATTCTAAATGAAAGCTTTGCTGGATAGCAATCTTTGCTGGTAATCTGGGATATAGGTCCTTGTCTTTCATGACTTGGAATACTTCTTTCCAGCCCTTTCTTGCCTGTAAGGTCTCTTTTGAGAAATCAGCTGACAGCCTGATGGGAACTCCTTTGTGGGTTACTGTCCCCTTATCTCTTGCTGCTTCTAGGGTTCTCTCCTTCATTTTTACCTTGGCTAATGGAATTACAATGTGCCTCGGTGTGTTTCTTCTTGGGTCCAACTTCTTTGGGACTCTCTGAGCTTCCTGGACTTCCTGGAAGTCTATTTCCTTTGCCAGAATGGGGAAGTTTTCCTTTATTATTTGTTCAAATACATTTTCAAACTGTTGTTCTACCTCTTCCCCTTCTGGTACCCCTATAATTCAGATGTTGGAACGTTTAAAGTTGTCCTGGAGGTTCCTGAGCTTCTCCTTGTTTTGTTTTGGTTTTTTTTTTTTTAATTCTTATTTCTCCATTCTTTTCTGGTTGGATGTTTCTTTCTTCTTTCTGGTCCACTCTACTGTTTTGAGTCCCAGTTTCATTCCCATCACTATTGGTTCCCTGTGCATTTTCCTTCATTTCTTTTATGGTAACCTGCATTTGTTCATGTAATTTGCAACCAAAATCAACCAATTCTGTGAGCTTCCTGATCACCAGTGTTTTGAACTGTGCATCTGATAGGTTAGGTATCTCTTGGTTGCTTAAAATGATGAGTTCTGGGGCACTGATTTGTTCTGTTTGAGGCATGTCTCTCTCTCTCTCTGTCTCTTTTTCTTTGGTCTGGTCACTGCTGTTATGGTGAGGGGTGGAGCCTTAGGTGTTCCCCAGGGCTGGGCACCCCAGTCGCCAGATTGTGACGTTGAATGTGAGGGCGGGGTTGAGAGGGAACAATGGCAGTAGCTCTGTTCTCCGTGGGACCTCAGTCCCTTCCCTGGGATCCTGGGCTGTGTGCTCTGCCCTGCTCCACAATCGCTGCCCCACTGGGTCTGCCAGATGCCGCCTGTGTACTCAGGGTCCACCCGCTGCGATCCTGTGCGCCCCAGATGCCTTACACGCTCCTGGTTGCCTTATGCACCCAATTCTCCCTGTTCTCCGCACAGCGACCCAACCCGCGCCCGGCTGCTGGTCTCCGCCCCTCTTACCAGTCTGGATGAACGGGTCTATTTCAACTTCTTGGCTGTCCGACTTCCATTCAAATAATTTTTCTATCAGTTCTGGGTGTTATTCTGCCTCTAAATTGTTGTTGTTCCAATCTTGCTTATGTGTGGAGGTATGGTGTGTCCACCTATGCCTCCATCTTGCTGGAAGTCCAGCTTCTATAAACTTAAGCGATAATTCAAGCATCCAAATTTTGAAGATGGCCTAAAGGAAAACTGTCACACTGGAGGTGGCTAATTTGACTGTTAATTCCGAGTTAGATGTTCTTTGGTGAGATAATTTTTCCAAACAGGTCAAACCTTTATGGTCAACTAGAACGAACAATTTTTTGTCATAAAGAATGTGTGGCTCTAAATTGTTAACAATGGTTATTTTTGAGATTTAGGAGCAGGAGTGTTGGGAACCGCCCTGCCTGGTTTCAGAAGCTGTAACCCCCGCCAAGACTAAGGCTAGGTGAGCGATCTTGGGACCGTAAGCCACCAAGGAGGCAAAAGCTTATCTCTCTGGCAGGAGCACTGCTTCTGCTCCTTTTACTTCATCCGTAACTGTCCCCCAATGCTTGGTCGGTTAGCCAATGACGGGTAAGATTCCCCAAGGGGGGAACGACTTAAGACAGGCACGATCATGTGAGAGGCCCCCAAGGAAGGACTTTGGGGGTACAGCAAAAGGGGGTGATGGACCCTCACCCCTCAGCTTTGACAAAGCCTGAGTGCTCATTCTGTCTGCAAGAAGTCTCCTAATTCCTTGACTGCCTTACTTCCCCCGCCTGACTTAAGCCTGAAACAATGACAGAGGGTGGTGCAGCCCTGTGCTGGAAAGGGTGGGTTCCCCGGGCAATCAGACCTAAGAAAGAAGATGTAAAATCCTGTGGGACCTGCTTTGTTTAGAATGCTCTCAATTAAATGACAAGGGTCCAAGCAAGAAGAAAGTTTGTTCCTCAAAGTTTTATAGCTCTTTAGCTATCTGACCCTGACTCAAAATAGGCCCTCGGAGTTCTTTGTTAACTATTGTTTGATCCTTACTGCCTAACAATGATTAATGAGCTTTACCTGTATTCTTGTGCAAACGAACCCAATAAAAGCCCATTGAGGAAAAGGCTCTTGGCACTTCTCCTTTGAGAGATTGGCCACCTTTCCTCCCCAAGCAGATCACATCTTGGTAGACTTTTTCTCATCTGTCTAGGCTGGGGTGGGAGGGGCCTGTGGGTGGAGCCCCCCCACACGGGAGGTGGTTGTTAAAGAGAGTCATCATCCTTTACTTTAAATACTTCTGTAACTTTTGAATTTTAACATGTATATGTTTAAAATTTCAGAACAAAACAAAGAATTTGGTTAGATGTACATTGGAACTGCTGCACAGAGAATCAAAGGAGTTGCTCTGAACTATCTGATTTTAATTGAATTTGAAAAAGACCATCTGACTTGATCTAATTACTAGGTGCCAACCTAGCAGATTGAAGCTGCCTAGCAGTAGATTAGAAATAATCTACCTGCAAAAGCCTTCCCTGGGGCAGTGACCTTTTGGGTTGAGCTGGCTTTCCTTACAACACAGGGAAAATCTCAACGCCCTTTTCACTTTCCCATAAACAAATGCAGTTCCTCTATTCTGTTGTGTTTTTAATATTTTTGTTTTTCCAAAATTACCCATTTTACATCCTCATTGTAAAAACATTTTTTCAGACAATAAAGAAATGTATAAACCTTATTCTGTTTCAAGTTTGGTTGTGTCTTTTCAGATTTGTTTTACACTCATACATACATATACACATAGTTTCAACTCCCACTTTTAATTTTTTGAGATATAATTCACATACCATAATATTACAATTTTAAAGTATACAATTTGTGGTTTTTGATACATTCATAAAGTTGTACAACAATCATCACTATCTAATTCCAGGACATTTTATTGCCCCCAAAAGAAACCATATACCCACTAGCAGTCACTTCTTCCATACTTCCCCCGTCCCCACCACCACTAATCCACTTTCTGTCTCTATAGATTTGCCTATTCTGAACATTTCATTTAAATGGAATCATACAACATGTGACATTTTGTGCCTGACTTCTTTAACTTAGTATATTTACAAAGTCTATCCACATTGTAGCATGTACCAGTATTTTATTCCTTGTCATGACCAAGTAATATTCCACTGTATGCACACAAACCACATTTTGTTTATCTATTTATCAGTTGATGGACATTGCATTGTTTCCAGTATTCCTGATATGAATAATGCTGCTATGAGAATTTGCATATAAGTTTCTGTATAAACAACATATGTCTTCAATTATTTTGGGTCTATACCTAGGAGTTACTGGATCATATGGTAACTCTATGTTTACCATTTCTCTTTTTGGAGAAACCATCAAAATGTTTTCACAGTGGCTGCATCATTTTATATCCCCACTGGCAAAGCACAAGGGTTCCAATTTCTCCACATTCTTTCTCACACTTTTTATTTTTCTTTCTTTTTCATTCTAGCCATCCTCATGAGCATGAAGTGGTATCTTCTTTTGGTTTTGATTTCTATTTTTCTAATGACTAATGATGTTGAGCATCTTTCCATGTGCTTGGTGGCCATTTGCATATCATCTTTGGACAAATGTCTATTCAAACTTTTTGCCCACTTAAAAAATTGAGTTGTCTTTTTATTGTTGAATTACAAGAACTCTTTATATATTCAAGGTACCCATATCAGAACATATTAGGTCCCATATCAGAATATATAATATGCAAATATTTTCCCTCATTCTGTGAGTATTATTATTTTATTTTTAGAATTAAAATGAATTTCTAAATATGCTGTTCTGTAACCTGCTCTTTTTCTTTCACAGTGTGTTGTGGGCATCTTTTAATGTTAAGACAAAGCTATCCCATTATGGTTGTACCACAATTTATTTGATCTGTCCTCCCCTGAGCTGTAAAGAGTCTGAAGTTCATAAGTGGATGAAGACGAAGCTACAGCAGTTCTTGTCTGCCCCTGGATGATGTGAAAAATGCAAGCATGCACAGGAAATGTCTCTAACCTGCTTACACTTCCTCTCTGAACCCTGTGGTTTCACAACCCCTATCACCCCCTCCTTCTCCACCACCCAGTGTCATCAGCCTGGTGCCTCTGAGAATGTTCCACTGCAAGAGGCCTTGGAGCATAATCATTTTCCTCTTTCACCCTGTCTAGGTTGCCAGCAAATCCCAAGGGTCCTCTGAGACTGAGTCTGGGTCAGAATCTGACACCTGCTTGAAGGATGAACTCCTGCATCATCGTAATGAGGCTGCTGCTGTCCGGGCCTTATCTCTTTGGTAAGCAAAGGAGGAGAGGAGGGGAAGCAACATGTGTCTGTGATCAGGGAACCGCAAGGCTTTATGGACCAAGAACAAAGGAGGAGCTGCTGTAAGGGTGGAATTGTCCATATGTAATGTGGAGCCCAGGAATCCTAGGGAGAGAGGGGGACAAAGAAAGAAAGAAAGTCAGAGTCCAAAGCATAGGCAAGGTATGGAGACAAAGACACAGAAGGGAGACAAAGATGGCAATAGTGAAAGGTGGGGGAGTGAACCCCTAAAAAGGCAGATGGTAATGGGTGCCTAGAGCTGGGCTGGGGTCTGGTTCCACCGATGGCACCTCCCTGTGCCATCTTAGGCAAGTCCTTTCCCCTTTCTGGGCCTCAATCTCTTAATCTGAACAAATGGTGGGGCCTCATCTCTGACACCCTAGGATGCTGTGTAATAAGCCTGATGTCTGGAAGGAGATCAGGGTCTGAAAGGACAGTTTGGGGCTTACAGATGATGCCTAGGCTGCCTGAGATGGGGGAATCTGAGATGTAATGGTTAAGGAAGACACTGGACCCTGGTGGAGTGGGGAGTATGGGAGCATTAGAGGAATGAGGAGGCAGCTTCACAGGGATCAGAGGATCTTGAAACCATTAGTCTGTGGGAGAAAGCCTGGGGCTAATTATTTGAGTTCTCTGGGTGCCTGTGCCCCAGGACCAAGGGAGAAATGAGTGTGTGGGGAGATGCACCCCACCTTGAAGCATCCCCATCTCCTCAGAGAGGCCCTTCAGCCTGCTCCTTTCTCAGGAGCCTCTGCCTTCTCATCCTTCCTCCTTTGTTGAGAGGCTAAACGGGAAGTGTGTCCTTCCCAGGCCCTGGGACTGCCAGAGCTCTGGGTCGTAGGGAGTCACTGCTTCCATATTTCCCTGACCCAAGGCCCTCAAGGGGAAGTCCAGGGAGACCGGTTGCAGCTGTGCCTTGGGTGTGGGCTGCCTGGTTAGGAGGGAGCTTGGTTCCTGGAGGTTGGCCTGCCCCTTTGGGGCAAGTGGGTAGCAGACAATCTGCACACTGGACATGGAGTTGGGGGGATCCCTGGCAGAAAATGGCTAAAGTGCCCCTTGTCTCCCCCAGCCCTGGTCTCCAGCTACAACCTGGACGTGCGGCGTGTGCAAAATCTGTCTTTCCCACACGCCGGGAGGCACTTTGGGTACCGTGTCCTGCAGGTTGGAAACCGGTGAGCTGATGCCCCAGGTCCTCCCTGTCCCACAGAGCCCCAGAAGAGGTGCCCCCATGCCAGCTCTGGGGTTGGCCAGTGAAACCAGCAGATCACAAGGAGTCCGTGGTGGGATTTCTCAGAAATAGGAGCAAGCCCATCAGATAGTAGGATGAGGGCTATTCACAGTTAAAATGCCACATATGTGAAATAGAAAGGGAAACACCACAACCCCTAAAACACTTGGTAATACTTCCTAGGTTCCTGAGTCCCTCCCTAGCTAGACAATGAATTCCTTCCTGCTCCCCCCACCCCCAGCCTAGCACATAGTAACTATGCCATAAATTACTCTTGAATCGATGACTGATTGAATAGTTATAACATTCTGGCATATTCTCTGGGCCTCAGTTTTTCTAGACTTTAGATGGAAAAAATTCTTAACTTTCTAGAATTCTAACATATTGGATGATTTACCGGGAATTCAATAGGGAAGAAATTGGCAGGGACCTGAAAGAGAATGGTCCCTGAGCTGTATTGCTTTGAGATCCCTGGTAGAGGATTGGAAACCCCTTATTAGGTAGGAGTAGGTAGGTAAAGACCTGGGTAACTCCCTCTCACAAGTGAGATTTCTCATCAGGGTTGTTGTGGGAGCTCCAGGTGAGGGGAACAGCACAGGAAACCTCTATCAGTGCCAGCCTGACACTGGAAACTGCCTGCCAGTGAACTTGAGTGGTGAGTAACTGGCGAGGGAGCTGGGAGGAGTTGTGTCTCAGGGAAATTGAGGTTGGCCCCACCACACTGGGCTTGCCTAAATCCCTCCAGACCAATCAATCTTGCTGTGTCTACAGGTTCCAACTATACCTCTAAGTACTTGGGAATGACCTTGGTGACAGACCCCACATATGGAAGCCTTTTGGTAAGAGTTTTGTGTAGTGTGGTATCAGAGTCTATGAAGTTCAATGCTGGTAAACAGATTGAAAAGACAAGAGGAAAAAATGAATTAAAGACCCTGCAGAAGATTAAAGGTATCAGAAAGATTCAGATTCAATTAGTGTTTACTGAGAACAAATTATGAGCTAGCTATTTTCAAGACCTGACTTACCTAAGTTTTCTTCCAAATATTATACATCTATTAACAGTTGATAGTCAAGATAATTTTTGGTGGTACACAAACCTAATATTTTGATTGTTATATATTTATGTAATAGATTAGTGGAAAAATACACAAGCACATCAAATTCATGATTTCTTAAATTCTATTGCTTAGGGCAAGACTAAAGTTTTTTTTAAAGTAAATTTAAAGTAAATACAATTTTAAGTAAACAATAGGATGAATGATACCATAAGGCAGAAATTGTGAAGTGGTACACAAATGCCTAAAGTTTGGAAAACATTGCTTTATTTCTTAACCCTCAAGGCAGGTGAGTTAAGAATTAGTGCACACATTTTATGCATGAGAAAACAGGGCCAAAGGGGAGAGACTTGGCCAAGGTTACATGGTTTTAAAGAGGCAGAGCCAGGATTTGAATCAAATTCCCATTTGATTCCAAGTCTATTACTCTTTACAAGTCATCCTGGCAGCATGTGACAGCTACGTGAGAAATAGAAGACTGAGTGAAATATGGATTGTGTTTAATTAGAGCTTGTTTACTTAGCTGCTGCTATATGCCATACACTGTGCTAGGTTATGGCAGGGGAAGAGGAGTGAGATACAAAGATGATTGTGACATGAGCCCTGAATTTCAAGAAATTATAGTCCGGCAGGAAAGATAAGTCACAAATGAAAGGCACATCATTGTATATTCTGGGGATAGTGAATAATTTGATTTAGTTAAACACAGAATGTGTGATTGGAATGACAGAGGGTGGGCCTGGAAATGCAGGCTAGTGCCCAGCTGTAAACAACATGAATGCCAAACTAAGGATTTTAGATTTTATCCTCTAGGTGGTGATCATCCACTGGTGCAGAACATTGGTAGTAGGGACAGAGATTTGATATGAGAGACCTGGAGGCAGAAGTACTTTGGCTCAATAACCAGTTGGATGTAAGGCGTGACGTCAGGAGATGATAACCCTGAAGGATTTTGTTCTTGACTGATGATACCCAAAAAACATAGCAAGAGGAAGCTGCGACCATTTTATTTTTGTTTCCTTCAGGCTTGTGACCCTGGGCTGTCTCGGACATGTGACCAGAATATCTATCTAAGTGGCCTGTGTTACCTCTTCCACCAGGATATGAAGGGTCCTGTGCTGCAAGGTCGTCCTGGTTACCAGGGTAAGGAACTGGGGATCCAGTGGGTAAAAATACCTCCAAGTGGCTGCCCGTACATGGGACCCAGTGCAAGCAGGCCAGCCATCAGAAACACTTTACCAAGTCCCTTTGTGTCTGGCTTCTGTAGAATGCCTAAAGGGCAACGTAGACCTGGTATTTCTGTTTGACGGCTCAATGAGCTTGCACCAATACGAATTTCAGAAAATTGTGGACTTCATGAAGGATGTGATGAAGAAACTCAGCAACTCTTCCTACCAGGTAAATATAACAGTTAAGATTCCTGGTTGTAGGCAATAGATGTCTACCCAAACCAGCTTAAGGCATAAAAGGAAAATTTAGTAACAGGTGTCTCCAGAAGCTAAGGGCATGCCTATAAATTGGACCCCTGGAAGGGACAAGAACCAAGAAGTAGAAAGCTTCTGAAATTTTCTCTAGTTCTCATTTCTGTTTCTTTTTGGCTTTTGCTTCCCTCTTCTCTTTCTTTCTGTAGAATGACTCCCTCGGCTTCTTTCGATCACGTGGGCCTGTGGAAAGCTCTTAAGCTCATGTTTTCAAGTTTCAGGTTTCTTTTTTTCTCTTAATCTTTGTTTCAACTAACCCCTCCCACTGCAAATCCCAAATTCTTAGAGAAAAAGTTATTACTGGCCATTATTACTGGCCTCGCCTCAGTCAGGTGGCTGTCTTTGGCCAAGCCAACTGTATCCTATTTAGCAGGGTCACTCGCAGAATTATGGCTACTGGGAACCCTTCTTACTGGTGAGGCAGACAGACCCAGAGAAACTGAGCCCAGCGACAGTACTATACAAAGGGTCAGAGGTTTACTTAATTTTATTTTTGTGTTTGTTTATTTTCCAAAGAATGATTTGAGCCCTGGCCAATGTGGCTCAGTTGGTAGGAGCATTGTCACATAGACTGAAAGTTTGCAGGTTCAGTTCCTGGTCAGGGCACATACGCAGGTTGTGGGTTTGATCCCCAGCTGGGGCATGTATGAGAAGGCAACCGATTGATGTTTCTTTTTCATATTGATGTTTCTCTCTCACTCCCTCCCTCTTTCTCTGAAAGCAATGGAAAAAAAAAATCCTTGGGTGAGGATTAAAAAAAAGAAGAAGAAGAGTGATTTGAGGCCAGGGATGTGGAGTAGGGTTGCCCAGGTCCCGGATAAAAAATAGTGATTGGAAGCCCTTTCCGGGTAGCTCAGTAGGTTAGAGCATGTTCCCAGATGACCAAGGTTGTGGGTTTGATCTCTGGTCAGGGCACATATATGAAGAACAAATGAATGCATAGATAAATGGAACAACAAATTGATCTCTCTCTCTCTAAAATCAATAAATAAAAATTTTAAAAAGAAGGAACGATTGGAGCAGACAAGTGAGAAGGGATATATACTGTTTCATTTCTTCTTTATTCTTACAGTTTGCTGCTGTTCAGTTTTCCACAACCTATAAAACAGAATTTAATTTCTTGGATTACGCGAAGCTGAAGGACCCTGACCTTCTGCTGGCCAACGTGAAACACATGCGCCTGTTGACCAACACCTTTGGTGCCATAAACTATGTAGCGTGAGTTCCCTTTTGCACTATGTCGCATGAGTTCCCTTTTGCAGGAGAGAGCCCGTCCATCAGTTGTTCTGTGTGCACTAGCTTCTTTAAGTTGATATGTAGAGCTCAACAGGTGGGCCAGGAGGGGGAAGGTTATTGTAAGAATTCAGCCTGGCTGGGGCTCAGCAGATTGAGCTCAGGCCTGCCTGCAAACCAAAGGGTCACCAGTTTGATTCCCAGTCAGGGCACATGCCTGGGTTGCGGGCCAGGTCCCCAGTAGGGGACACTCAAGAGGCAACCATACATTAATGTTTCTCTTCCTCTCTTTCTCCCTCCCTTCCCCTCTCTCTGAAAATAAATAAACAAATAATCTTTTTAAAAAAAGAATTCAAGTGGAGCAAACTTTAGTCCAGGTTCTGGACTGTAAGGAACAGAAATTGACTTTATACTGACTAAATAAATCCCAAAGGGATATTGCAGGGATAGCTCATCAGCCTCTGGGACAGGGAGTATTGCCAGCCTCACAATGGACTAGAACCAGGACTTGCAAAGTGACTGTGAACCATGGAAGCCTCAGTAGAATTGCCTTGTAGACGGGGCCCAGCTTGGAAGTCAGTGTATGAACAAATAGTCAAAATTATCCTTGAAGAATTCCTTGAATTGTTCATAAAATTCAATATATTCAAGTCCCACACTGAAAATGAGCATATCTTAATTTCCTAAATTTGCTACATAAATTTATTCCCCCAAAGTTGGATCAGATTAACATGTTTAAATTGAGACCTAAGTGAACATAGCTGGATTATGTTGAAGGGCCATACTGTATATTTTTAAGATACCTATTTTTAAGCATTACACTAGCCATGGAAACTGCTACAGTACAGGAATTTGAAGAATAAGAGAATTATAGCTCCTATGCCATGTACCCCCTGGGTATACTGTCAAGTTGATGAAATAGCCAGAAAGATCTCCTGTACTATTGCACTTATTTCTCTCACTTTCATTTCTTTGCCAAGCATGTATAGTTGAATTTGCATAAGTTAAACATGCATGTGGTATATATCTCAAAGCTCTGCATGTGTGTTTCCAGATCTTTCCTTCTGGGGCTCCCTCAACCCGTCATGTTCACTTCATTCTTTTCTCTCTGTGGACAGCTTTGGTGGGTACACAGTTAAGCCATGTTCCCTGAAAAAATGGCAGCCTCAGTTCCTCTACCTGAATTCCAGCCTCCAGTTGAGAAAATGATTGGCTAAGCCTGGGTTAGGTGTCCACGGGTCCACCCAGCTATGGCCTCGGTCTGCTTTATGGTGTAGAGTCACACAGCACAAACATGAATTCTAGGGCCTCTCCATGGGAAAGGGGCAGTTCTTAGAGAAAAGGTCACCACAGGATGGGAAGACACCCTGAAAGGTGTCAAATGTGGGAGCAAAAGAGAGCAATCGTGGGAATGTATTTCATAAATACTTCTTGACCATCTGGCTGTGTGCCAGGCAGTGTTCCAGATTAGGAGTTGGCAAATTTTTTCTGTAAAGGGCCAGAGAGTATATATTTTAGGTTTTTCTGGCCACATACAGTGTTGGCTACATATTATTCTTTGTTTTTGTAACCCTTTAAAGACAAAAATATTTTTAAAAATTTTAGTTCATGGACGGCATAAAAACAAGCTGTTAGCTGCTTTGGCTGGCAGGTGGTTGTTTGCCACGTTCCAGGTGCTGGGACTATAGCAGCAAATAAAACAAAGAAAAATCTCTGCCCTCTTGGGAATTAATATTCTAGTAAGTGAGAGAAATACAATAAACAAGATAAATAAGTAAGTTAGAAAATACAGGAGGAGATATAAGTTTGATTAAATAATAAAACAATATTCAATAGAAAGGTCAGGGAAAGCTACATTTGAACAAAGACTTGTTAGAGGTGAGGAAGTGAGCCATGTGGAAACCTGGAGGAAGAACATTCTAGGCAGAGGACATAGCAAAGGCCCTGAGATTCTAAGTAAGATGAGAAGTTGTCAGAGGTTTGGAGCAGAGGAGTGATGATCTGCTTTGTTTTTAAAGGATCCCTCTGGCTGCAGGGTAGATATTAGACTGTGGAGGTACCAGGGATGGAAGCGAGGGGGCCAGTTAGGAGGCTATTGAAAAATGCAGATGAAATGATTTAAAATGGGGTGGAAATCCATGAACAGGAATTATAATAGGCCATGTCTGTGTGGATGGAGGTTAGAGAAATGTTTTGCTGGCCCTGGACAGGTAGCTTAGTTGGTTAGAGCATCACCCCTATGGCAAGGTTGCAGGTTCAATCACTGGTCAGGGCACATACAAGAATCAACTAATGGATGCATAAATGAGTCAAACAACACATCGATGTTTCTATCTATATCTCTCTCTCTCTCTCTCTCCCTCTAAAATCAATTTTTTAAAAAAATCTATGAAAGCCCTGGTTGATGTGGCTCTCACCCTGGTTGTGTGTCCTTTCATAAACTGAAAAGTTGCAGGTTCAATTCCTGGTCAGGGCACCTGCCTAGGTTGTGGGTTCAGTCCCCTGTCAGGTGTGTGTGAAAGGCAACCAATCGATCTCTCTCACATTGATGTTTCTTTCCTTTTCTCTCTTCCCCCCGCCCTCTACAATCAATACACATGTCCTTGGGTGAGAATATTAATTAATTAATTAATTAATTAATTAATTAATTAATTAAAATGCTAAAAAATAAAATAAAGTAAAAATAAAAGTAAGTGGTTTTCAAAACAAATCTATAGGAAAAAAAGAAAGAAAGAAAAGTTTTGCATCCAAGAGAACTAGAGGTCTTGACAGCAGGTGTTTCTGCCTCTGCCCACCAGAGCTCCTCTGTCTTTGGCAGCTTCCAAGTAACTCTTCAGCCCTCCTCTCTCTATCTCTCCTCCACCTGCCACTGTAGCCTCTCCATATGAGTTTCAGCTTCTACTACTAAGGCAGGTCATGTCACAGGCAAGGGCTGTGAATTGGCTGCTCTTGGATCAACTGTCCATCTCTGGTTAGCTGTGAGGTGGGGAGAGAAGGATCAGATGGTTCAAATGTAACTGTTGTCCCAGCAAAAGCTGTGGGCAACCTATCTTGCATCATAAGGAGGCTGTGGACAGGGCAGGAATTGGGAGAATTGGCCTGTCCAGTATTCAGTCCTCCCTTCCTTTTATTATTTTACATGCACTGAGCACCTACTCTGGGTCAGCAGCCAGGGATACAGCAGCAAATCAAACATGGTCCTTTCCTTGAGGAACTCATGTCATGTGAGTTTGATGGGAAACCAACACAGAAATTAGCTATTTCACATCCCTAGGAAACTTGCTGTAACAGAGATCTACAGGCAGCCTGGGATGGTAGGGGTGGCAGAGAAGGTACTATATGAGCTTTCTCTGGACAAGTGACTTTCCAGTTTTCTTTGGCCATTTGGAACCCATTTTTCTCTATTGAAATCTCATCTAAATCACCAGCATATGTGATTGAAGTGATAGTTGCCATGTAATTGAAATGGAGGGTAGGAAGCCCAGTTTCCCCTTACAAAATCTCCCCCTTACCACCCATAGACTCTGGGACAACTTGCTGACTACTCAGAATTCAGTTAAGACACTGGTTTAGAAGGAGAGGTGTGGCAGCAAGGGCAAGAAAGAAGGTTCAGTAGAAAACTTGAAAGTCTGGGAATAGCTACTGAGGAATGCAAGAAAGGCTTTTGCATAATCAGCAGGGAAATGACTTAGGGAAAGGGGGAAGTAGTGGAGGAGACTTCATATGATTTGGGGGGGAGTCTCTCATATTCCCTCTTCCTGGATGCAGGACCAAGGTATTCCAGCAGGACCTTGGGGCCCGGCCAGATGCCACCAGAGTGCTTATCATCATCACTGATGGGGAAGCTACTGACAGTGGCAACATTGACGTGGCCAAAGACATCATCCGCTACATCATTGGGGTATGGGCCGCTGGCCCCAGGCCTCTGGCTTCTTCCTACACCTCATCTTCCCTCTCCTATTCCTGAACCCTGTCCCCTTTCTCCTTGGGGCCATGGTCTTGTGAAAATAGTAGAAAATTGGTCCGAGATTCTGGGAATGTCAGCACTTCACTCTTCTCTCCCTCACAGATCGGAAAATATTTTGAGACCAAGAAAAGTCAGGAGACACTCCACAAATTTGCCTCAACACCCACTAAAGACTTTGTAAAGATTCTGGACACATTTGAGAAGCTTAAAGATCTATTCACTGAGCTGCAAAAGAAGATCTATGTCATTGAGGGTGAGTGGTAGACCTTGGAGAGAGAGTTCAGGAGATCGTATACAGAAACTCATCTTGGGATATTAGGTTAGAGACACATTGAATAATAGTCAGAAGCACTTACTCAGTATCTGACAGTGAGCTAAGAGCTCTCCTAAAAAAAACACCTTGAGTAGGAATTGAGGAGACAGCAAGTCAGGAGCAACCTCTATTCCCTCTGAAATTCTATCTTCTTGAAATTTAGCTTGGTCCAGGGTGGGGCCCAAAACTGACCTTTGTTTTGCTCGTGTCAGCTGAGCCCTGTAGAAGGACTCGGCTCTCTCATTTTCACTTTTCTTAGGACTCAAATTACTTAAGATGGGCAAGCGGGCTGGGGCTAATTGCAAGTATTCCATAGGCCCTCTTCCTTGGTCCACTATAAGAGAAGATTTTGATTGGCATTACCAGATGGAGGACTGGCTATGGGAAGGTATTTCCCCAGGAAGCCTAGTCTGCAGGAAGATACATGGTTCCCATGGGGAATGCCCTTTTGCTAGGACACAGCCTTGGTGTTCAGTTCAGCACTTTGGTGACTTCTGGCCCAGCCCCCATACCTTGCTGAAATATCTTGGTCCTGTGTCCAGGAAGGGGGAATGTGAGAATTCAAGAAGTAATGTGGTGTATATAGTAGAACCAGGCAGACCTGCTCAAGAATCCACTCTTGTGCAGTGTGACCCCAGCCCAGTGCCCCCAGTGTAACAGGACAATGAGCATCATTGTTCTCTGTTAAATGGTGATAGTAATACCAATCTCACAGAATTGTAAGGTTTAACTGTTGTATTAATTTCCTAAGTATGCTATAACAAAGTACAAAAAAACAGTGGTTAAAGCAGCAGAAATTTATTATCTCTTAGTTCTAGAGACTAGATATGAAAATCAAGGGGTCAGCAGGGCCATGCTCTTTCTGACAGTTCTGGAAGAGAAATTCTTCCTTGCCTTTTCTAGCTTCTGGTATTTGCTAGTAGCAATCCTTGGCAAACCTTGACTTGTACTGAATTGCTCCAGTCACATGGCTGTCTTCTTTCTGCATGTCCTCATGTTATCTTCTCTCTGTACATATCTATCTCTATGTCCAGATTTCCCATTTTATAAGGACATCAGTCATATTGGATTGGGGCCCACCCTAATGACCCAATTTTAACTTTATTGCCTCTTAAAGATCATATTTCCAAATGAGGTCATATTCTGAAGTACAAGGGATTAGGACTTCAACATGCTTTTAAAATATATTTTATTGATTATGCTATTACGGTTGTCCCAAATTTTCCTCCTTTGCCCCTCTGCCTGGTACCCCCTTCCCTCCAGCAACCCCACAACTTGGTTCATGTCCATGGGTCGTGCGCATATACTTTTTGGCTTCTCCATTTCCTACAGTATTCTTAACATCCCCCTGTCTATTTTGTACCTACTAATTATGCTTCTTATTCCATGTACCTGTTCCCCTACTCTCACCCTTCCCCCTCCCAGGTGATAACCCTCCTAACAATCTTCATATTTATGATTCTGTTCCTGTTCTGGTTGTTTGCTTAGTTTGTTTTTTTAGATTCAGTTGTTGATAGCTGTGAATTTTTTACCCTTGTAATGTTCACAGTTTTGATCATCTTTTTTTTAAATAAGCCCCTTTAACATTTCATGTAATAATGAATTGGCAATGATGAACTCCTTTAATTTTACCTTGTCTGGGAGGCATTTTATCTGCCCTTCCATTCTGAATGATAGCTTTGTTGGATAGAGCAATGGAGGTTGTAGGTCCTTGATTTTCAACACTTTGAATACTTCTTGCCTACAAAGTTTCTTTTGACAAATCAGCTGACATTCTACAAAGGAACTCCTTTGTAGGTAACTTTCTGCTTTTCTCTTGCTGCTTTTAATATTCTCTCTTTAACTTTTGGCATTTTGATTATGATGTCTTGGTGTGGTCCTCTTTGGGTCCAATTTGTTTGGGATTCTCTGTGCTTCCTGGACTTGTATGTCTATTTCTTTTGCCAAATTAAGGAAGTTTTCTTTCATTATTTTTTCAAATAATTTTTCAATTTCTTGCTCTTCCTCTTCTCCTTCTGGCATCCCTATGATTCAGATGTTGGTACGTTTGGAGATGTCCCAGAGGCTTCTTATACTATACTTATTTTTTTAAATTCTTTTTTTCTCTTTACTATTCTGGTTGAATGCTTATTTCTTCCTTATGTTCCAAATCCTTGATTTGAATAGTAGCATCCTCCCCTTCACTGAGGGTTCCCTGTGGAGTTTTCTTTATTTCACTTAATGTAACCTTCATTTCTTCCTTTATATTGTTGCCATCCATACTCAGTGAGTTCTTTGAGCATCCTGATCACCGGTGTTTTGAACTCTGCATCTGATAGGTTGGTTATCTCTGTTTCATTTAGGGGTTTTTTTCTGGGGTTTTGTTCTGTTCTTTCATTTGGGCCATATTTCTTTGTCTCCTCAATTTGGCAGTCTCTCTGTTTTGTTTCTGTGCATGAGGTAGAACTGTTTTGACTCCCTATCTTAGTAGTTTGGTCTATTGTAGAAAATGCACCTGTAGCCCTGGCTGGTATGGCTCAGTGGACTGAGTGTCAGCCTGTGAATCAAAGGGTTGCCAGTTTGATTCCTGGTCAGGGCACATGCTTTGAATGTGGGCCAGGCCCCCAGTAGGGGCCCTATAAGAGGCAACCACACATTGATGTGTCTCTCCTTCTGTTTCTCCCTCCCTTCTCCTCTTGCTAAAGATAAATAAATAAAATATTTTCTTTAAAAAAAAAAAGAAAGAAAAGGCACCTGTAAATTGTGTGGGGCAGAACCTTAGGTAATCACCAGGGCAAGGCAACCCGCTTCGTTGCTTTGCAGCTCTGTATGGGGGCAGGGCTTGGAGAGGGGACAGTGCCACTGCCTGGCTTCTGGAGGTTTGTCCAGCACTCACCCCATTTCCAGTCACTTTACCCACTTCCCATATGTGATTGGTTCCCCTTCCAGCTGTTGCTCTGGTTGCTCTAGTGCTGAATCCCACAGTGGGTGAGTTTGTGTTCATTCTAAGTCTGTGTGGGCCCTTTAAGCCAAGTCTCCTGAAAATCCAGCAGTCTCTTCACTTCCCAATCCCCCACTGGCTTTTACAGCCAGAAGTTATGGGGATTTATCTTCCTGGCACTGGACCCTGGCCTGTGCCTGGGGCTGCAATCACTCACTCCCAAGGTATCCCTTCTAATTTTTATCCACCATATGTGAATGTGGCTTTATCTGTTTTGCCACCACCATCACCTCTGCTCTGCACCTGCACCTGCGTGCTTCTCAGCCAGTCTCCATGACTCCACCCTTCTTACCCATCTGGATGAATGTGGCTTCTCTAAATCCTTGGTTGTCAGACTTCCATACAGCTCAATTTGCTGATGATTCTGTTATTTGTTTTGAGATCTAGTTGTAATTCTTTCCATGGTTGTGCAAGGAAGCAAAGAGTGTCTGCCTACTCCTCCATCTTGACTGGAAGTCTCAACATACCTTTTTTAGAAAACACAATTCATCCCCTAACAACTACTTAGCAAATTGCTTGGTGCCTTGTAGGCACTCACTAAATTGTAGCTCTTTTTATCTGTAGCCTTTATCTTCTCTCCTAATCTGCCCTTACTCATTCTTTAGATCTTAGGTTAGATGTTACTTCCTCTGGCAAGTTCTCACTGGTCCCCAAGCCTGGATTAGGGGTTCCTTTCCATGTACTTCTGTAAAAGAAAAAGGAAAAGAAAATGAAAATGAGATAGTCTTAACTGGATGAAGCCACTTTAGAGAGACTTTTCAAGGAAGATGCCTTTTTTAGTTGAGGTAACATTCACTCTGACATGACTTTTAACTAAGACATGAAAGATGAGAATCAAGCAGCCATGTGAAGAATGTGGGCAAAGGGCATTTCAGTCAGAGAGAAGAGCAGGTGCTATGGCCCAGAGATGGGGGAGGCATACTGGAGGAATAGAAGGAAAGGTCAGTGATGGGAGTATGGTGAGTAAGGGAGAAGAAAGGTTGGAGAGATAGGCAGGGACATTGAAGGCCCTAACAGGACTTTGAATTTTTGTCTAAAGAGTAATGAGAACTAATAAAGTATTTTTAAGAAGGTGATAGATTGGTCTGATATACCTTTTTTAAAAAGTTTACTCTGGCTTGCTCCATAGAAAAAAGGCATGAAAAGACAAAGAATGGAGTCAGAGACCAAATCAGTAAATTACCACATTAGTCAGGGAAGAGATGAGATTGGCTTGGACTACCGTGATAGCAATGCAGACTATTCAAATGTGTTTAGATGGTAGAACCACTATGATTTAATGATATGTTGGAGATCAAACAGGGGGAGGGGAAGAATTAAGGATTATTCCTGGGTTTTTAGCATGACTCACCAGGTGGGTCGGGGTGGCATCCACTGAAGTGAGGAAGTCTGAGTAGGAACAGAAATCAAGTGCTGCATCTTCGACATGCTGATTAGAGTAACTAGATACCCATCTGGGTTCATGGACTGTCACTGAGGCTCCAAGCATAATCCACTTCCCAGTCTGTCTGACTCTAAAGTTCATGCTCTTTCTATCTTGCAAATGCCGTGCTTCTTTCTCTGTCCTTTCCTGAATATCACTGTTTTTACTGCTTCTTGGGTCCCAGCCCATTCTCCTCTCCTTTTGTCTTAGGCACAAGCAAACATGACCTGACATCCTTCGACATGGAGCTGTCTTCCAGTGGGATCAGCGCTGACCTCCACAAGGTGGGTGGCAGGCCTGAAGCTATGGGCCAAGTGTTCTTGGGGGAATGTAGCTGTCCCTGCTTTGACCCTGCTTGTCTCCTTCCCTGGGCAGGGCCGTGGCATTGTGGGGACAGTTGGAGCCAAGGACTGGGCTGGGGGCTTTCTAGACCTGAAGGCAGACCTGCAGGATGATATATTTGTTGGGAATGAGCCACTGACACAAGAAGTGAAAGAAGGGTATTTGGGTGAGTACTTCTCCTTTATGTTGAGTTCTTTTGCTTTTAGGGGCCAGAGAATCACTCAGGCTGACTTTCAAAAAATAAATGAAAGCAATTAAGCAACAGCATGAATAAAACTCAGATTTTAAGTGTGGTTATAACATTCTCAACCTTTCTTTTAATAACTCCTCACCTGTGTATTAATCATGTTTTTATTTTCTGTACTTTATGAGATCTTGATATCTTGAAGCCTTGCTAATCATGGAGAGACTGCCCCTCCCAAGGCCGGCTCATTCTTACAAAGAGTAAACAACATGGCAGTGAGCAGGCCTTGCATATACCAGCCAACCAACCCAGAGGTTGTAGCCCCAACTGCCCCTTTTAGCTGACTTTGGCAAACCAAATCAACATTCCCCCTGATCTAACTCACCCCAAGGCCAGGTATTAGACACCTGAAGACCATCCTCGTAGCCCGAAGCCTGCCAACACTACTCAAACTATCCAATCCTAAACTTGCTCAAGCTTGCCCCCGCTGCCTCACTCATTCCTTCCCTCAGAAACCACAACAAAGACTCAGGCCATACTCACCCAGGCTCCTTCTGCCTCCTTACTAAGCCTGATGCTTCTCCCTGTGGCCCGGCATGGCCTGCCAGCCTGCCTCCTGCTTTGGGGAGCTGTAAGTAATAAACTTCTTTCAATGGCAGTGACCTCTTTGTGTTGTCACTTAGTCATACCTCTAAATTAAAGCCCAGGTCCATTTGAAAACAACCTGCCTCATTAGTAGGAGGAGCAGCAGGGACTCACTGAAGCTTCCTCCAGTTGAATTGTCCAGGAACTCCAGGGACTGAGTCTCCAGAGTTCTTCAGATGCCAAGCACAAAGGAAATGCATCTGGTCAATTCACAGTTGCTATTGTGTGCCTCTGCTTCCCCGCCCCACTGTTGCAGTCTTGTCCTGCCCAGTTCTGTAGATGCTTGTCTACCCAAGGTGATGGCCGCCTCAGACTACAGAGGGGCCCCACCTCTATGCTCGGAGGTTATAGCTCTTTTCGTTTACGTTCATGTAGTCAGCATGTCCCAAGGCCCAAAATGGCTCCAACAGCCCTGGAAGAGAACTGCTTCCAGGTTCTACCTTCTCACAGATTGAGAACCACCCTGACTCACCCATGACCTTTTGTCTAGGCGTGGGCCACTCCTTTATTAAACTCTCAAAACACTAAGATCTTATCAAATTCTTTCCTCGAGAAAATTTATGCCATTCACCTAGTACCTACCCTTCTAAGGGAAGCTGCCCTTGGTGATTTGGGGTTTTTTTTTTTTGACATTCTTTACTGAGCAAGACACTGTTATAAGTGCATGGCACGTATTAACATATTTTATCTCATTTTATCTTCACAACAGCTCTGTGAGTTGGCATTTTTATTATCTCTAGTTTACAGATGAAGGAACTAGATAGGTTAAATAACTTGCCTAGCCCTGGCTAGTGTGGCTCAGTGGACTGAGTGCCATCAATCAGGGCACATGCCTGAGATGTAGGCCAGGTTCCCAGCTGGGGGTGTGCGAGAGGCAGCTGGTCGATATATCTCATACATTGATGTTTTTCTCCCTCTCTTTCTCCCTCCCTTCCCCTGTCTCTAAAAATAAATAAATAAAATCTTTAAAAATAAATAAATAACTTGCCCAGGGTCACAAAACTGGTAGGTGGAGCCAGGGTAGTCTAGTCCCAAAGCCTGTGCGAGTACACCGCAGTGCCTGCACCACTGCTTTCAAGGTGGTTTTTCGTTCTTCAGCATCCTGCAGAAGAGCTGGCAGCGTTGCTCCAAAGCTAGGAACCTGGCCCACTACACAAGGGGGGACCAAAAAGAAACCCAGAATTATCTTCGGGAGGGTGGCCCTTTGTAGTATAGACTTCCCATGCTAGATGAGTGTTCTAGGAACCCATCTATATCAGTGTACCAGCCGGTGCTGTTGTGAGAGGCTGAGTTTGGCCTCGGTGAGTTTTTTTTGAAGACTCTTTCAATGGGTTTGCCCATTTCATGATGAGGGATTTATGTTGAGTTCTTTTGCTTTTAGGGGCCAAAGAATCACTCAGGCTGACTTTCAAAAAATAAATGAAAGCAATTAAGCAACAGTGTGAATAAAACTCAGATTTTAAATGTGGTTATAACATTCTCAACTTTTCTTTTAATAACCCCTCACCTGTGTATTAATCATGTTTTTTTTATTAAAAAACACCTGGCCACACAATGCTGAGTGTTAAGCAGTTCTTGACTAAAAATGGCCTAATCCCAATGTCCCATCCTCCATAGTCACCCAATCTTATCCTGAGTGAATCTTTGTTTGTTTGTTTCCCTGGATGAATAAAGTCCTCAAAGGGAAACTTTTTGCTAATGTGGGAGAAGTGAAACAAAAACAGCAGCAGCACTAAAAGGCATCAAAATCGATGAGTTCAAAACTGTTTCGAACAGTGGAAAAAATGTCTAGATGGGTGTGTTGCATTAAATGGGGAGGACTTTGAAAGTGACTCAAGTTTAAACGTGTAAGAATAAATACACAATTTTTTATAAATAAATTTTGTTTTTTGGGAGGTTCCTCCCCACACACATATGTACATATATATGAATAAATATAATCTTGAGAGTCTATTATGCTACTCTCTTTTAGGTCTTAGTTTAGACATCACTAGCATAGTGCTAAGCATTTTATATCCTTGGTCTTACTTACTCCTCAGAACCACACTATAAGGTTGGTACTACCCCCATTGTTTTTAGAGAAGAAAACTGAGGCTCAGAGCAAAGCAATTTACTCAAGATCACACAGCTAGGAAGCAGTAACACTAGAATTAAAACCCGTCTGTCCGATTGAAAAAGGCAAGTTCTTAACCCGTGTGCTTCAGCACTGTGTATGAATGAGTAGGAGAGTGGTTCAGCCTCCTCACTCTTCCTTTCACGTATGAAGATACGTGAAGCAATGTATGTATGTATGAAGATAGCCTGAAGCAATACCTTTAAGCAGGAAATTTTGTCAAGTCGCCTCCTTTATCTTTAATATTTCTGCAAACTTTGCATTCTTTTTACTAATATATCCCATTTTATGTTTTTTATTTTGTTATTTTTTAATATTTTATTGTTTATGCTATTACAGTTGTCCCAATTTTTCCCTCTTGCCCTCCTCACCCTCAGCACCCCCCCCCATATTTTATTATGTTTTTAAAAATATAATCTCACCAATCCTCAGGTGAACTGAGGCTCAGGAAGATGCACCACATTTAACTCATGGCTGCTTTCCTTGGGTGTATGTGTTGTCCACAGTGTGAGAAATGCAGCCTCAGATCAAGACAGGAGTTGTATTGCTTGGAGCACGTGGCTCCTCTTCCCAGGAGAAGCTCTTCTGGATGTTTCAGTGCATCTTTGCTACTGACCCAGTTTCCCAGGGTCTTCACTCCCCCTCCCCTGGGCTCTACCTTCTTCCAAGGCAGTCATTGTCTCTCCAAGTCCCATCCTCTCTCCTCAGGTTACACGGTGACCTGGCTGCCCTCCCGAGGTCTCATGTCACTGTTGGCAGCTGGAGCCCCCCGATTCCAGCATGTAGGGCGGGTGCTATTGTTTCAAGAGTCCAAGGACAAAAGACAATGGAGCCAGATCCAGGAGATAAATGGCACCCAGGTGAGTGTGACCCATGGGCGCTGCAGGTCAGGGGCTGGTATGACACTGTTCGTGCTCCCTGCTGCTTTCTGAACACTTACCCGCTTGCTGTGTGGCAGGCCCTGACAAGCGCTGTCACATTTGTTCCTCACAAAGTCCACTGAGGTAAACTATGTCATCCCATTTGCCAGTTAAAGAAACTGAACCTCAAAGAACCCAACTTGTCTTAATTCATACAGGCTCCAAGTAGGATCCAGAATGCAGACTTTCGTTTGAGACAGTGGATATAGCTGAGGGAAAAGGTGTATCCTGTTCACGGGCTCATCCTCAAACATCTTCCTCTCCCTGCAGATTGGCTCTTATTTCGGTGGTGAGCTGTGTGGCGTTGACATAGACCAGGATGGGGACACAGAGCTGCTGCTGATTGGAGCCCCCCTGTTCTATGGGGAACAGAGAGGAGGCCGAGTGTTTATCTACCAGAGAAAGCAGGTGGGGGTCAGAGCACTGAGCTGAGGGGGTGGGAGAAACAGATTTCCCAGGCCTGCGCAGGTCCCGGTTACTCTGAAAGGCCTTCCCTGTCTGTTCCCATGTTAATCAGACATACAATCAGACATACGATCTTTAGATCAACAATAGACAACAGCTACCACTCACTGACGGTAGACTGTATGAGGCCCAGTGCCAAAACTGTTACATATATAAGCTCTTCTTTGATCCTCACAATGGCCTCACAAGGAATTAGGAGCTTTATCTTACAATGGGAACACTGTGGGTTAGCAAGGCTGGGTGCTTTCCAAAGCCACAAAGTCACACACACAGCAAGAGGTGGAACTGGGACCTGAACTCAGGGTAGTCTGATGGAATTACCCGGATTCTGTGAGGGACCACACCCAACATTTCTTTAGTGTTCTTCACACATGAAATGTCTCACCCTGTGAAAGCCGAATGATTGAAGTGGAACTTGTCACCTTGCTCCTTCTTAGTGGGGGTTTGAAAGGATCTCAGAGCTGCAGGGAGATCCCGGCTACCCTCTTGGGCGATTTGGAGCAGCCGTCACTGCCCTGACAGACATCAACGGGGACAGGCTGACGGACGTGGCTGTGGGAGCCCCTCTGGAGGAGCAGGGGGCTGTATACATCTTCAACGGGCAGCGTGGTGGGCTGAGCAAACGGCGGAGTCAGGTGAGGCACCCTGCCTGCCAATTAAAGCCCATTCCCCAGATACCTGGAAGCCTCTAAGCCCAGACTCTATTCCCCGGCCTGACCCTTCCCACCCTCCAGTCAGTCCTCTTCCTAGCTTAGCATGAATTTCTCTCTTGGTCTCAGCGGATAGAAGGGATCCAGGTGTTCCCAGGAATTCGGTGGTTTGGACGCTCCATCCACGGGGTGAAGGACCTCGGAGGGGACGGCCTGGCAGATGTGGCTGTGGGGGCCGAGGGTCAGGTGATGGTGCTGAGGTAAGATGGGACTCCTGGGCGGCACCTAGCAGTAATTTCAGCTCTCATCCTTTGAACAGTTACTGTGTACAGGGATTGTGCTAACTGCTTATAGGCGTTAGCTCATTTGGTCTTCCCTCCAATCCCATAAGATGGGTTTTCTTTTTATACAGCCTCATGCCTTACTCCAAGCGAAACAGCTGCTTTACAGTGACAGAGTAGGATTTGGGCCCAAGCCTATCTGATGTTAAAACCTACAGAAGCAGCAACATGTGATGGCTTTAGAACCTAGTGACCTGGATTCAAGCTGAAGCTCTGCCATTTACTTGTTAGATGATCTTACCCCAGTCATGTAGCTTCACAGGACCTCAGTTTCCTCATCTCTGAGATGATGATTAAATCTCCTGCCTTACCCCATCTTAGAGTTTATTGGAAGCATCATGGAACATCATATAATGAATAGATATTTACTGAGCACCTACTATGTCTTAAATACTGAACTGGGTACAGAGTAAATGTGTGGGAAAGTATATAATAAAAAATTAAGCCAATAAAGATGTAATTATCGTTGTGATGAGTTCTATGAGGGAAATGAACGGGGTACTGTGAGAGAGAACAGCAGGGGTACCTACTGTAGATTAAGCATCCAAAAAAGGCCTCTCTGAGGAGGTGATATTTGAGCTGGTATTTAAAAGGTGAGAAACAGCCAGGCCTGCAGAAGTCGGGCTTAGGAGTTGTCCATGAGGAAAGCCCAGGAGGTGCCAAGGCTGCAACGGAAGGCAGCAGTCTGATATGGCTGGGACGGAGCCAGCTAAGGGCGAGTGTGGAGGAGGAAAGACTGGAGAGGAAGGCGGATGGTATGGATAGGAAAGAATCTGGACTTTATTGTATCACGTGGCGTCAGAGATGAGTTATAAGCATGGAAGTAGCTTGGTATGATTTCTCTTTTTAAAATCTCACTCTTCTGTATGGAAAATGGGCCAGAAGACTGCTAGCGTGAACTGGGGAGCCCTAATCACATACCATTTTTATCATTGCAAAGAGACATTGATGTTGAGGTCTACTTAGAGATGGAGGATCCCCCTGGCCTCTGATAGATGGAGCAATCCCTAGGTCTGCCTGGGGATTGCAGCTGAGGCCAAGGGAGAGAGTGGACTGTTTCCTGCCCTGCAGCTCCCGGCCTGTGGTGGATATCATCACTCTGATGTCCTTCTCCCCGGCTGAGATCCCAGTGCATGAAGTAGAGTGCTCCTATTCAACCAGCAACAAGAAGAAGGAAGGAGTTAACATCACAGTCTGTTTCCAGGTCAAGCCTCTCATGTCCCAGTTCAAAGGTCAGTACTGTCTTCCAGCTCCCCAGAACATCTATGCCCTTCCCCAGCACCCCGCCCACCAAAATCCAGGCTTATGGCCCCAGGATCCGCCACCATTCAACTCCTCCTTTTCACCCTGCTCAGGACTCCTGGTTGCCAACCTCGCTTACACTCTGCAGCTGGATGGCCATCGGACGAGAAGCCGGGGATTGTTTCCAGGAGGGAGACATGAGCTCAGCAGGAACATAGCTGTCACCCTAGTCAAGTCCTGCACTGAATTCTGGTTCCACTTCCCGGTAAGGGAACCGGCAAGGCTGCCCCAGGAAATGAAGGGGTAGAAGAGCTGATGCCCTGAGAGGCAGCACTGGGTGCAAGGCTTAGCTCTGGGTCATAGCTGAGTGACAAGTCACTTTGACCTCTCTATACTGTCATTTCCTCTACTGCACAACAGTAGTGATAATCTTAGTGTGTTTTCTTCTAGTCCTCCATCCATGTACAAAGACCTTTTCCACATGATTGTGATTATAAAGTACTTTCCATTTTTCCTACTCTTTTTTATACATCATGTATTAATAATGCTGCTACTCAGCTTTCATAATTATTTGTATGAGTTACAGAATATTCAGTTGGGGTAGTGTGTTATTATTTGCCTAGTACACATGGTCATTTATTATTCACATCCATCCCAGAAAAAGGTTTTTTTTAAATATTGATTTAAACAATTACTAAAACACTCAAAGACAGTTAGTTCATCATGGCCCTGTATAAAGTAGGTGTGACTATAAATTATTTGGTATATGATTGGTATATAAGATCTTGAAGTTGGTCTTATATTTTGTTATTATGGGAATTTTCAGACATACAAAAGTATAAGAAATAGTTGAATGAACCCCCGAGTACCTATCACCTAGTTTCAACAATTATCAATTGAATTTTATTTCATTCCTAACTCATCTTGGGGCCTCCTCACACCCTTATCTTTCTACCTCCCATCAGAAGACTTCAAAATTTTAAACATAAATGTGCCAGAGAAGAGGCATTGTGATGTGCTGGGGAAAACTAATGTTCAGACTTGGGAGCTGAAAAGATTTGGGTTCACTTATTAGTTCTAGTCCTTAGAAAAGCTATGCCACCCTTTTAGACCTTATTATCCTCCTCCTTAATGTGGATATGATATGCTTACCTCTCTGGGTTGGTAGAAACTTCAGGTGAGTGCGATTTGAGTGCCTTTAAAGTGCCAGTGTCAGGCACTGGCCAAAACAGAAAAGACTAAGCCCCACCTCTGCTCTCAAGGAACTAGGATTTCTAGAATAGTCTTTTTTTTTTACAGATTTTATTTATTTATTTTTAGAGAGGGAAGGGAGGGAGAAAGAGAGAGAGAGAGAGAGAAACATCAATGTGCGGTTGCTGGGGGCCATGGCCTGCATCCCAGGCATGTGCCCTGACTGGGAATTGAACCTGCGGTGCTTTGGTTCGCAGCCCGCGCTCAATCCACTGAGCTACGCCAGCCAGGGCTTAGAATAGTCTTTTATTGTGCAAATGTTAATAATGGTTGACTAGAGCAGTTTGACAAAGATTCAGGGGCTTCTGTCAGGACTCCTCTGAAAAAAGTGCGGTGCTAGGTTAACAATGTCTGCAGTGCAGTTGGGGTTGAGGAACAACACGAGTGCCAAGAAGCAACCCTGATGCCAGTAAATCCCTTTCTGCTGCTAGTAAGGAAGGCAACTAATTACTAGAATTTCATCATTTGTAAACTGTGGACAAGGTGTGTGTGTACCTGGAAGTGTAGTAAAAGTTTGCCTCTTGACATAAGATACATTCTTACCACCCTCAGGTTTGCGTTCAAGACCTCATCTCTCCCATCAACGTCACCCTGAATTTCTCTCTCTGGGAAGAAGAAGGGACATTGAGAGACCAAAGGGCGGTAAGCAGAGATCAGCTGGGGGAATTGGTAAGAAATAGAAATTTAATTTAGCAAGAATGTATTATAAAGGGGTCTTTGGATTAAAGCAACGAAAAAGCAAATATGGCTTACTTAAGCAGCAAAGGAATTGATGGGAGTTTGTATTTAAGAGAAATTTAGAAAAGCAAGATTGGGAGGAAGGGGTAGTAGGGTGGAGGCTCTGGGGCCCCTCCAGGGGAAGGAAAATGGGTGGACTCTCCAGGGCACACATCTCATTGGTCAGAACATAGTCACGTAGCCACACCTAATTACGAAAGGGCCTGAGAAACACATGAGGTCATCTGACCACATTAAAAAATAGAAGGGGAAGGTGAGGGAGGATATCCGGGGACAATGAGCAGTCTGCCATCAGCCTAATTTTTAAAAGGCCAAACTGTGTGATATAGGAACTCAGGATAGAAAAGAGCCCTGAGGTCACAGTTATCCAAAAATATTTTCGGGGGGAGGTGTTACTGTCTCAGGATCCTGCAGAATAAGTAGACTTCGGATGGGTAAAGAAAGGACAAGCAAAGCGAACAACAGCATGAGGAAAGGTATGGCGGTACGTTCAAGGTGAATGAGAGGTGTGCTCGGCTTCTGGCAGAGGGGCAGCTAAGCAAGAAAGAGGCCCTCAACGTCCATTTGGGAACTGGCTGTGGCCCAGGGGGTGGTGGGAATCCGTATGAATGTTGAGATTGGGTTCGAGCAGTCAGCAGAAGCTGCCAGGACTCTTGCCCCTCAAGAAAGAGTCTAGACGCTGCTTGGCAGGTGACCTGAAAGCACAGGACCCTGGAATCTCACTAGAATATACAGCTGGAAAACCATGAACTACTTCTGACTTCATTATGCTCAGAATGCAGTCCCACCTGCCTCACAGGGCTTACAAGGCCCAGGGGAAGCTGGACCCCTCTCCTCTCTCCTGCCCCTCTGGCGCACGGCACTCCAGCCAGCCTGAACGCTGTCCTGCTCCTGCTCCTGCACGGCACAGTCTCTCTTGCCTTGACCCTTTGTGTAGATTGTTCTTTCTTCCTTCCTCTCCATTTTCTTCACTTGGCTCCCTCTGGCTCATCCTTTAGATTTCAGTTGAGAGGCTATTCCTTCAGAAAGCTTCCCTGACCCCCAAGTGTGGGGTAGAATTTTCTTCTACATGCTCTAAAGATACCCTGTCCCATCATAACCCTGAAGATGCCAGGTCACTTCTCCCACCAGATCAGGAGGGCAGACCATGCATCCATTTTGTTCTTGGTGTTTCACAAATGAGTCCTGATCTCGCCCTGGCAGGGTGGGTCAGTTGGCTGGAGCATTGTCCTGGGGGGCATACCGGAGGCAACCGATCCATGTTTCTCCTCTTTCTCTCCGTCTCTCCCTCCCTGCCTTTTTTTCTCTCTAAAAATCAATAAACATATCCTCAGGCAAGGGGGGGAAAAGAAACTTAAAAAAAAACAAAACCTGGCCTTTATCTGACTAGAGAGCTGTTCTAGGGGGAGATGGGGTTTACAGAGGAGAAGCACAGTGAGAAGTCCCAGGTGGGTTTGCCCAGAGGCTGTGCAGCAGGCATTCCCACCAGAGGAGGGGACAGGCTAGGGGCAACTGTGGGAGCTGCCTGGTCAAAGCCCAGATCTCCTGCCCAGGAGAGGAAATGGACACACTGATCCTCAAGTTGCTGCCACAAGAGGAGGACTGCACAGATGGCCTTGGGCTGCATCCGGAGGGTCGGGCCTGCCTGAGAGGGGGCTGGCTCCTGAGAGGGGCTGACCACAGCTAGCCGGCTGAGCCACCGGCCCTGAGCTACAACCCTCTGCCTCCTTCATGAGTTCTGCTGCCTCAACTAACCTCTCCTGTCTCCCGGCCCTCCCACCCCTCCGTGTTCAGCAGGGTAAGGACAGACAGCCCATCCTGAGACCCTCGCCACACTCAGAGACCAGGGAGGTAAGAAGGGAAGAGTGGCCGACAGAGAGGCCAGGGCCAGGCCCTCCTGGGTCTGGGGGCCTGAGACTCCTGGTCCTTTCTTCTTGTTTCAGATCCCTTTTGAAAAGAACTGTGGAGAGGACAAGCAATGTGAAGCAAACCTAGGGCTATCCTTCCACCCTGCAAGGTCTGTAAGGCTCCCCACCCCTCCTCCTGCCCCACTCAGAAGACCCCTATCCACACTTGAGAGATGTTTTATCTGGCCTCATTGGCCTCCTGTGCGAAAGCAAGTCCCCCAGGCACTCTCGTCAGGATAAATGAGATCACAAAACTTAAAGCTGGTGCATAGGAGCTTATTTTGTGTGTATTTATTTTTTTCTGGACTACCAGATTCCTCCGTTGAGGACACCCCCACCACTGATCCTGCTTCCTTCACCTTGGCCCCAGTAACTTTTCCCTGATCTCCCCCTCAGATCCAGAGTCCTCCGTCTAAGCCCCTCTGCCAGCCTCTCTATGGAGCTGACACTGAACAACTCGGGAGAAGATGCTTACTGGGTCCGGCTCAGCCTGAGTTTCCCCTGGGGACTCTCCTTCCGAAAAGTGGAGATGCTCAAGGTGAGCGAGAAGGCAGGGCCTGCCCACATTACCCGCTTGACCCCGCAGCTTCTGGGAGCCATAGGCAGCTAGAACAGCCTGAAGACATGGGCAGCGGCTGGCACTCGGAGGTCCTAGGGCCACGTCTGGTTTTGCAGCCTGGTGGCCACCCTCAAGCCATATGACCCGAGATACAAGGTTCACCCAGTGTGAGCCTCAGATTCCACAACCAAAAAATGAGGCTGGGGACACCCACAGGATGAGTGAGACGGTCTCATGAAATGGAGCGTGACAGAGGCTCTGGGACCTGGGAACCAAGAATATGTTCACAGGTTTAGTGAAATCAACCTACCTTTTATAGATTGAGGGATGGCCTGGGTTGTTTGAAATACAACTTTTATTTTTAGAATTATTATTACAAAAGTAACACCCGATCCCCGTGGAAACTTGGAAGTTACAGAGAAGTTTAAAGAACATAATCACCCATATACTCAGCAATTACTACTTTTGCTATTTTGGTGTTTATGGTTCTGTTTGTACTACAAATCACAGCACTTATTTATTCTATATTTGAACTGAATTGGCATTTTGCTCTCCATACGGTTATTTTTTCTCCATGTTTAAAAAAATGTTTTTGTTGTGATAAAACATACATAATACAAAATTTGCCATTTTAACCACACAGCTCTGCGGCGTGGGCCACACTGACGACGTTGTGCAACCTTCGCCACTCTCTACTTTCAGGGCTCTCGTCATCGCAAACAGAGCCTCTGTGCCCCTTGAGCAATAACTCCCAGTTCCCCACCTTCTTCCCATTGTGACCTCTAATCTACTTTACATCTCAGTGGATTTGCACATTCTATATATTTCATATGAGCACAGTCATATATTTGTCCTTTTGTGTCTGTGTTACCTCACTCGGCATAATGTTTTTGAGGTTCATGTCATAGCATGTATGAATTTCATTCCCTTTTAAGGCTCAGTAATATTCCATTTTGTTTATCCACTCACCTGTCTGTAGACACTGGAATTCTTCTTATACAGCAATATTAAATGCTTCCTGAAGGGGCATCTAGTAGAGTGATAAAGAACTTGAGATCTGGAGTCAAACCAGCCCGTGTTCAAGTTCCTACCAGATCCCTGCCAGCTTCCCCAGCTGTGAGACTTTGGGGAAGTCACTTGACTTCCCTGAGCCTCTATTGCCTTATCTAATGCCCTTCCCAATCTGAGGCTGAAATTTTCACTCACAGAATGTGATGAAGATGAATGATTTTATACTGCTTAGTCTAGAATCAATCTCTTTTTGAAAATAATTGCTGCCCTAGCTGGTGAGGCTCAGTGGATTGAGCATCGGCCTGTGAACAAACCTAAGGGTCACAGGTTCAATCCCCAGTCAGGGCACATGCCCAGGGTGCGGGCCAGGTCCCCAGTAGGGGGCACGTAAGAGACAACCACACATTGATGTTTCTCTCCCCTCTTTCTCCCTCACTTACCCTCTCTCTAAAAATAAATAAATAAAATATTTTAAAGAAATAAATAGTTGCTGAATGTGCCAGTGTAGCAGCATTTTAACAGTATCACAATGTCCTCTCCTATAACCTCATCCCGGTTGACTGAACCACTCCAACTCTTCGAACTGCTTGATCACCTCCAGTTTTTCGCTATTATAAATAGTGTGGCAGTGAGCATCTTAGCACTAAACCTCTGGCTGCACCCCCGGTTCTTTGACCCCACCTTTCTGAGAATGTGCCCTGAAAGGGGCAGAGATGGAGGAGGTGGGCCCTGGGCACTGGTGGCCTCTGGGGAACCCCTCACCTTTCCTACTAAAAAGCTCGTCTTCTCTCCTCACCCCCAGCCCCATAGCCAGATACCTGTGAGCTGTGAGGAGCTTCCTGAGGAGCCCAAGCTTCTGACCAGGAGCCTCTCTTGCAATGTGAGCTCTCCCATCTTTAAAGCAGGCAGCTCGGTGAGTGCTTCAAGCCCCTAGGAACCAAGCAGCCAGGGCCTTTGAGCTCAGGATGGGAGGGGGCTCCTGGCCCTGGAGAAGGATGCTGGTGATTGGCAGAGAAGGGCTTACACCCCACCACCCCAAAGGGTATGTGTGCAGAGGTGATTTGTGTCATGTTTGAGAGCCTAGAATCACAAACTTGGAGTTGAGTTACTCATTTTCTGACCTTATACACACATGACTTAACTGTGTGTGATGGGGATAAAACACCTAGCCCAGAGCCTGAGATGTAGCAAGCCCTCAGTAAGCGGTTGCTGTTATTATGGATGTTGAGTATGGGAGCTGTGAGGAGCTAAGGCTGGCCCCTGAGGCTCAGGCCCTTCTTTCTTCATTGCCCTCTCTTCCCCTGCCAGGTTGTTATCCAAGTGATGTTCCACACGCTGCTGAACAGCTCCTGGGGGGACTTTGCCAAGCTGCACGCCAATGTGAGCTGGTGAGCAGACCCCAAACAGCACCCCCGGCATCCTGCCCTGGTCTCAGACTGCCATGCAGCTCTGGCCAAGCTCTGCTCTTGATACTGCCCTTCCTTTGCCCCAATGCAGTGACAATGAGGACTCAGGCCTCCTGGAGGACAACTCGGCCACCACCAGCATTCCAGTCCTGTATCCCATCAACATCCTCACGGAGAAGTGAGTCCTAAGCAGCATCTCACCCTCTCCTCCCACCCTCCCCACCCAGGGCCCAGACCTGGACTTCCTGAGTTACCTATCCCTCAAAACCCCTTCCCTGTCCTAGAGTACTCCACCCCCAGGGTAATTAGAACTGACTCCAGCTACAACCCCAACATTTTCAACACTCAGAAGGGCAAAGGCCCTTTAAGAGCTCTGAGTCAGATCAACATTTATGGATGGAAGCAGAAGCACATTGAGTACTGAGCTTCCATGAGGCCATGTGCCAGCTGTGTGCACAGCTGGTGACTTTCCCAAGGCTTTCACACCTCTTAAGCAGCTGTGCCTCCCTCCATTTTACTAATGAACAAACTGAGGCTCAGAGAGGGGAGGGACTGGCTCAGAGTCATACAGCTAGGACGTACTGACGCTGGAATCTGAACTTGAGTCTGAGTCCAAGTCTACAGCCAGTCTCTCTATTGTTTTCAGCTATGCTAGGTTCCTTTTTTTTTTTTTTTTTTTTGAGGGCTAGCACTGCTAGGAAAGGTGGGAGAAGAGTTTTCAGAAGGCCCTTGCCCACATAGAGCTTATATTCAGATTGAAGAGACCAAACTCACGCACACACAGGATCAGTGAGTCTCAGAATATTGCGGAAGGAAATGACCCATGAGGATCACTAGTTGGATTTTCTTATTTACAGAAAAGGAGATTAAGGCAGAAAAGTGGAGTGGCTTTTTAAGTTGGCTCAGTGAGGTAAAGACAGGGCCAGCATCTGAGCCAGGGTCTCTGGTGCTTTTGAACACAAATGCCAAACACAATGATATTGTTGGAATTGTGCTATAAAATTAGAGCCAGGAAAGATGATGTGGGTTAGAGGAGAGATGGAAGGGGTCGTGGAGAAGTTGGGGCTTGAACTGGGGTCTGGAGGGTGAGGACAAGGGCCAGGGAGGAAGGAGGACATTCTCATCAGGGACAGGAGCCTAGGTGAAGGCTCAGAGGCAGCAAACAATCAGACAGGTCAGGGAGCAGAGAGCAGGCAGGCAGACCGGGATCTGCCTTCAGACCTGACCCTGTGGGCAGCTAGGAGCCTTTGATGGATACCGTGTAGGTTTGTGGCAGGATCAAAGCATGGTGTTAGGAAGGTCAAGGGAAAGGCGAAGTGGGAGAGGGAGCCAGGGGCTGGTGCAGCTGTCCGGGAAATGAGCAGCGGGACCCGTACAGTGGAGACCCTAGGGAGGTGGTGTGCAGGGAAAGGAGCATGGCTCCAGAGACACATTCCCCTGGGTTCCAGGCCTGGGGCAAGAGGCCGACCCCTTCCATGAGCCTTAGTTTCCAAAAGGAAACAGCAGGGCCTTGTGAGGATTACATGAGGTCATGCCAGGGAGGTCCCTCGCACAGTGCTGGCAATTAAAAGTCTTCCCCTGGCCCCAGCCCCCAGGTTGCCTCTGGGTTGCTGTCTTCTTCACCTTCTACCTTGGCTCTTCTCTCTCTCCACAGCCAGGAGAACTCCACACTCTACATCAGTTTCACCCCCAAGGGTACCAAGATCCACCAGGTCAAGCACATCTACCAGGTACAAACCTTAATGTAAAAAGGTCCCTAAAGGTTGCATATTCACTCGGCCCCATCCTGGGGACCGAGGATACAGAGACCAATTAGACTCAGTCTTATCCTCAAGGGAGTCTAGCCCCCCACCTAGTTCTCCAGTCCTTTCTGTGTGGTTTCACAGCCTCCACCGACAGCATACTCACCAACTCCTTCCCACCACTGGGTAAATCTTTCTAGAATCACAGAACTTGAGAACCAGAAGGGCTCTGAGAAGAGAACCTGGTCTTTCACTGAAACATTTGATGAGACACTGTGCTCGTTTAAGTACTTTGCTAAGGCTCTGAGCAGGAATAGATAAAGCAGGGTCCCTGTCCACTTACCAAACCCTAGTAGTTCTGTGCCTGGTGCTTATGTACCCACCCCCTGTAATTCTCACACCAGCCTGTGAGAGCCCTATAACCTGCAGGAGGCGCTGTCACTCCCGTTTTACAGGTGAGAAGTCTGTGGCACAGACAGGTCAAGTAACTTGCCCAGGTTATACAGCCAATAAGGGGAAAGATGAGATCCAAGCACTTACTTGAACACCAAGATCCATGTGTTTAACCTCTAAGTTAAGGATCTGTCCTTTCTCATGCAACTGGCTCAGTGCTGTAGTAGTAGTCCTCCTTACAGGAACTCAGAAGAAGGAGGCTACCCCCCGAGCCCAAAGCTTGAGGAGTCTTAAGCTTTCTTAAAGTTAAACTCAGGAGAGGATTAGGCACTGACTGACCAGTCAAAAGCATTTTCATTTTACTGTGGAGAAGACAGAGGACCCAAAGAGGAACTGTCTCACCCGAGGCTGCACGGGGGTCAGGGCGGACTCGGAGAGGAGCCTGGAGCAGGTTTGGCCCCTTCAGAACAGAGGCCAGAGCCATCTCCCCTGGAGACTGTGAGGAAGGAGAGTGCCCTTTGGGAAGGTTGGATATCCACCCACTTGCATGGAAGTGGAAGGTTTGGAATAGCCAGTTGAGTTAGCTTCTAGTGCTGCTCGTTGGGATGGCTCGAGGTTCCCCCAGGAGGTTAACCGGGCCACTCCCTTCACCAGGAAGGCAGGATCCAGACCCCAGATCTGCCATTTGCACACTTATGTGGCCTTGGGCCAGTAGTTTATCTGTCTATGCCTCAGCTCCCCTGTCACAAATGGAGTTTGGAAAAAGAATTTCACAGGTGGCCATGAGGTTCGGTGGGTTACTTTCTGCCTGTCCAATGCTCGGCACCATGCCTGGGGAAGTGGAGGTTGTTAGAGGGGTGAGGTGGGTATTACGTGTGGCCCTGAGGTCCCCTGGCTACTGTGGAAGCCTCCTTACATTCTCGTCTCACTCAGCCCAGAACCATCTCAAACCCTTTGAGCTTCCTCTTCCCCTCAGAAGAGTCATCAGGACTAATACCTCCATCCACCTCACCACCCTCCAGCATCTTAAGCCAAGCAGATGGCTCCCCACTGCCTGGCCTCCAAGCAGCCACTCTTGCTGAAGGCCCTGATATGGTCTCTGTTTTCACTAAACCTGGCACAGTATGCGACATCGGTGATCCACACCCTCTTTCCTGAAACTGTCCTGTTACTCAGACCCTTTTTGCCACAAGGAGGTCAGCTGTAAGAACTGAGGTTTATTACAAGCTAGACAAGCATGAAACCCAGTGAGAACAGGACAGCTGGGCCATAGAGTCTCCTTCCTCAAGGTCACCAGCTCCCCTAGCTGGTAAGGAGCACAGGCTTCGTTTGGACCTGAAATCTTTTTGAACTCTGCATTTAAAGCTGTGTGGCCATAGGCAGTTTACTTGACCTCTCTGAGCCTCAGTTTTTCAATCTATAAAACAGAAATACTAACACCTACTTTATGGGTTGTTATGAGGAGCAAATGAGAAAATACGTGTCAAGTGCTTAGCCTAGTAGTTGATACATAAGGTATCTATCAACTTGCATGTCTTTAGAGTTATTATTACCACTGTTGCCTGAGGAATGTGATGGGGCGTAGTGATCTCAGCCTCTGGGTTAAAATGTCAGCTCTCAGACTCAGTAACTTCAGACAAAATAACTCAGAACTAAAGGAGATGATGCATGTATTGAGAAGCAGAAGGGGCCTTGAGCTCTCAGTGCTTGGAATGATGATATTATACACGGGTTCTAACCCTTTGTGTTCTGCTTCGCCACCACAGCCATTCCCTCACAGCAGGCATGTGCCCTGGGCCGGTGTTACTGACTGCTCTGGGTCAGTTTCCGTAGGGTCAGTGTGCCCCTTCCAACTGACAGCTCCAGATCGCGCCCCTCCTCCTTCTCCAAGCACCTGTCGCTGCAGCTTGTCACTCACCTCCCCTGGGATGTCTTCCTAGCATCTTTTTATTTTTGATCTTTTGACAGCTTTATTGATTCACATATCACACAGTTTACATGCTTAAAGTGCACAATGCAATGGGGTTTTTTAGTACATTCAAAAGTCATGCTGGCATCACTATAGTCTAATGTAAAACATTTGCACTGCTCCAAAAGAGAAACCCTGTGTCCATGTGTGGTCACTCCTTCATCCTCCCCCCGCCCCTGGCAACCACCACTTCTGTCTCTGCATAAATTTGTCTACTCTGGACAACACATGTAGCTGAAACCACACAACATGTGGTCTTTTGTGCCTGGCTTTTCTCACTTAGCATAATATTTTCAGGGTCAATCCATGTTGTAGGCTGTCAGTATTTCATTCATTTTTATTGCCAAATAATATTCCATTGTAAGATAGGCCACATTTGATGTATACATTCATCAAATCATGAACATTGAGGTTGTTTGCTTTTACTAGTATGGATAATGTACTTAAACATTCCTGTACAAGCTTTTGTGGGGACATGTTTTATTTCTCTTGGATATACAACTAGGACTACAATTGCTCCTCTTAAAACTTTGGTCTCAACATGTTCGAAATTTATCATCTTTTCCTATACCAGCATCTTCTCTGGCTTGCTTACACTGCTTTAAAAACACCAGTTTTTCCTCAAGCAAAATTCCCAAGTCTGGGTGAGTTTTTCCTTCCAGCGTGTCTGGACCTCCTCGTGCTCTGTAGTTTATATCCTCTTCTCTCTTTTGTCTCCGATACCGCTCCGCCTGGATTTCTCCTCTTCTTGCAAGGACTGCTGGCCCTGGCTCCCAACTTGGGCCTTGACCCACTTTTCCCAGCTTCTTCCCATTCCTGCCTGCAGTGGATGAGTCCCCTGGAACCGCCCCCTCCTCAGTTGCTTTCTATGACTCCCCCCTGCCCAGACAATGGTCCGCTGACTTCTTGCCACCAGGTCTTCTGGGCCCCAGTCTGATCCCTTGTCCCCTTTCCAGACTTATCTCCTACCTCTTCTTCCAAGTGCCCTGCCCTCTGGCCACATCACACTCACCTGGGATTGTCCTAACTCCCTGCACTTTCTCTTTCTGTATACCTTCCCCCATTCCACATGTTAATTTCCTATATTTCACAGTTAAATTCAAATGCTGCCTCTTACATTAATTAGACCTTTTAGTTCAGTATAACTGACATGTTTAAAGTGTCCACAAATGGTCCTGGCTGGGAGGCTCGGTTGGCTGAGCATCACCCTATGCAGCGGGGGCTCGCTGGTTCGATCCCCAGTCGGGGCACATACCCCAGTCTGGGCACATTTGTGAGGCCCATTGGAGGTCTCCCTCTCTTCCTCTCTCCTTCCCTCCCCCTTCCTGTCTCTCTCAGATCAGTGAACATATCCTAGGATGAGGATTAAAAAAATAATTTTTTAAGTGCCCACAAATGTTTGCTGAATGAATAAATGATAGCACACTTTAATTTGGATGTATATTTTCCCGCTCAACCTCCCTGAGACTTTCATAGCACTACTCTTGTGTCACTTTTTTAAACACTTACGGGTCTTCCAACCTAGCACAGGTAGCTTTTTTGCACAAAAGGTACTCAGGAAATATTTCTTAAACTATTGAACAGGGCTCAGTTCAAGCACTTGCCAAAACAAATCTTTCCCAACCTCCATTGTGCAAATAAGACTTGCATCTATCCTTGTTGAACATTACTGATTCTTTCACTCGTTCAGAAAACTGCTTTTCTGGAGCCTGTTATGTGCCAGCTGCTGTGTCAGGCAGTAGTGCCCTGCAGGGTAAGCGAACCACAGCTCCCGCTCTCACGCTCGCAGCCTGGTGCAGATGCAGACGCACAAGCAGACACGCTGGCATCTGGCTGGAGCTGTAGAGTGCTGGGGAAATGCAGGAGTGGGAAGCTGCCCTGTTCTTGAGGCAAACTTTCAGAATGATGTTTGAGCAGCCCCTTGCAGGATGTGTGAGGAAAGCAGAGAAGCACGTGTAACTCACACACGTAATCGAGGACAGGGCACAGCGCGGTGGTTACTGCCCAGAGCCTAACATGGGGACTGTTGTGCCTCAGCCAGTGAGGACTGGACCTGGGGTGACAGTTAGAATGGCTGGCATTCAGGGCTCAGCAGCCCTTTGTCCTCTGTACCAGGTGAAGATTCAGCCATCTGAGCATGACCATAACATGCCCACTCTGGAGGCTTTGATTGGGGTTCCACCGCCTCACCGTGAGGGGCCCATCACTCACACGTGGAGTGTGCAGATGGTGAGTGCTGCCGGAGGAGGAAAGGATGCCTGGGCCTGTGGGGGTGAGCTCGTAAAGGGGTGTTTGGGGAGGAAGTGAGGACAGATGAATCCTGTCACACTCAGTGATGTCTGAATCTGCCAAGAGCCAGGAGGAGAGAACTGGGGTACCAAGGTCATATCTTGGGGGTGGAGAGGAATGCCAGGTTCTGGCTTTAAGGGGCCAGTGTCCTCTCTCAGCTCTGGACTAACTAAAGATCCCACCTCATCATTCCTAGGAGCCTCCTGTCGACTGCCAGTATGAGAATCTGGAAAGGACACCCGGTGTGGCTGAGGTATGGACCTGTGGGCTAAGATGGGACCTGTGTACTGGGCTGAGTACAGGGAGAAAGACAAGCCTCTCCAAGCCCCCTGCTGTTCCCTATTCCTAGCAGCCTTGTTTGCCTGGAGCCCAGTTTCGCTGCCCAGTGGTCTTCAAGAAGGAGATCCTCGTCCAAGTGATGGGGACTGTGGAGCTGGTGGGGGAGATCAAGGTAGCACCTGCTGGCAATGGACATGAAGTGGTTGTGGGAGCCTCCTCCTTGGGTAGGGAATGGGCCCCCCACTAGGTGGCCTTCCTGCGTGTCCTGTTTTACCTTGATGAAAAGATCCCCAATGTTTACACAGTTGTGGGTAAAAAGGAACCGTGATCTGTTTGAAATTTGCAAGGCTGTTTCCATGGGCCTGTGCATAATTTTGATAGGTTCTTTATAGGAACACTTTCCTCCCAGCAACGGGAGTGGCATGTGGAATGCAGAGCTTCATAGGCGTGATGCTCCCTGCGGGGACCTGTTTCCTCTGCCTCTGCTCCTTGGGTTGAGGTGGGGCAGGAGTCAGTGGGTACGGGCCTCAGGCCTCGGGCCTTGGGCTCCGGCTCTGATGCCTTCTCTCCCCTTTCCCACAGGCCTCCTCTATGGACAGCCTCTGCAGCTCCCTCTCCATCTCCTTCAACAGCAGCAAGCACTTCCACCTCTACGGCAGCAACGCCTCCCTGGCCCAGGTATCTTTTTATCTCCTCAGAAGACTCGGGAACAGAGGTCAGCAGAGAGATCTGAGAAACCACAGGGCAGAGCTGGAAGAGTCAGAGCTAGAAATGGGCAGCCATGCGGGAGAAGGTTTTGGATTAGCACAGTAAGAACTTCCCCACAGCCAGAGTCATCAGCCTTGGCACAGGCTTCCATGGAAGCCACAAACATTCACCACAAGGTGAGCAAGCAGACCACGAGGTCCCCTGTCTGAGGTGCATCAGGTAAAGATCATTTTGATGGCGGCTCATCAGAGTTACCCACTCCACTGGCAGAGCACATGGGAAGACACTCTAAGCAGAGAGAGCAACAAGTGCAGGGCCCAGAGCTGAGAGAATGGGCAAGGCAGGTTTAAGAGCAGAAGGCTCAGAGCAGGAGAAGGGCAGTTGCAGCTAAAACGGTCAGCAGAAACCAGATTCTGGAAGACTTTGCGTGCTGAACTGGGATTCTGGCATTTTCTCCTGAGACTAAGGGGAGCCGTGTAAGGATTTAAGATGGGTCATGGTGCCTGTTTGCCAGTTCACTCCGGAGGCTGCTGTGGGAGGCATGCTGGAGAGAGGGGGCCTGCACCGGGGTCTGGTGTCGAGACACGGCCCAGGCTGGAAATGTGAAGACCTAGAGATTGAGGCCAGACTCCCAAGACATGTTAGGGGGTGGGGAAGGCTTCTTCCCTCCACTTCCCTCCTCTCATCCTCCCCCAGGTCATCATGAAGGTTGACGTTGTTTATGAGAAGGATATGCTGTACCTCTACGTGCTGAGCGGCATCGGGGGGCTGTTGTTGCTGCTGCTGATTTTCCTGGTTCTCTACAAGGTCGGACTAGAAGGAATGGGCATCACTGAAATGGACAGGCTAGGGAAGAGGGATTGGCAGGAGTCAGGAAGGAGAATGCCAAGACCAGGGAACATCAAAGCTTAAAAGGGGCCTCAGCCTACTCCCTCCATCTACAGATAAGGCTACTGAGGCCCAAAGAGCAAGCAAGACTTCCCCCATTACTCCACCAAGCACTGGAAGGGCCAGGGCTAGGGGCCCAGGAAGAGGGAGAGGGCTCTCCTGTATACACAGAGCCACGCTCTGCAATACAGAGGCACATCCCACAAACATGGCCCCTGCCTTTGTAAAGCTTCCAGTCTAGTGGGGGAGAGAGACAGGAACACACACGGTAAAGGCTCCTCTGTGGAGCCTGTATATTCTGGGGCTTGCAACGCAGGGGCCCAGCTTAGGCTGGGGTATCTGGGAAGGCCTCCCAAGAGAGGTGGCATTTGAGTTGGGATTTGAAGGATGAGTGGAGGTTAGCTAGATGAAGAAAGCTGGAGGGCAGATATTCCATGTAAAATATTCAAATATTCCAGAAAACAGAACATAAAAATCAAAGTTTCTGCCTATTGTAGCCCCAGAGGGTTGTCATGAACAACTTTTTTGTTTCTATTCTTCTAGGTTATAGTTTCATTGTTAACATATGTATGTACGTGTGAGCATGAGAGAGAGAAAGCAGTGCATGGGTGCATGTGTAGAACATGTAAATGGGATTAGACTGTACATACTGCTTGGGAACCTGTGTTCTCTCCCCCGCCCCGCATATTATACCTTGGTGTCTTTCCGTCCGAGCACCATCAGACCCCTTCTTGCTCCGTAACCTGGGTGGTTTTCTGCAGTCTGGGTGCCCTGCCTTTTATTTAACACGTTCTCTATTGATGAACAATTAGGTTGTTTGTAATTTATGTCTATTTCAAACACTATGACAAAAAGGCTCTTGTTGCCCACACCTTTGCACACTTGTCCAGATATTGTTTCAAATTAATTCCTAGACCTGGGATTGCTGAGCTAAATTATATATATTGAGCTTTCCACAGAGAGTAAGTATACACTTACTAAGCACTATTAGTATCACTAGATATTGTCAAGTCACCCACCTAAAATATTGTACATAATGGTTTTTTCTTTTTTTTTGTAGGGTTTTATTTATTTACTTTTAGAGAGAGGGGAAGGAAGGAATAAAGAGAGGGGAACAAACATAGGTGTATGAGAGATACATTGATCTGGCCCACAACCCAGGCATGTGCCCTGACTAGGAATCAAACCAGTGAATTTTGGGTTTGCAGGCTGGCTCTCAGACCACTGAGCCACACCAGCCAGGGTGTTCATTGATGATCTGATGAGCCTAAAGAATGAACCGGTTAATGTACAGCTTTTCAACATACTGCCAAGAACCAGGTGTGGCAGATACCTTCACCCCATCCCTGGAACGGACACCACGTGTCTGGGGCACATATGAATTCTTAACATAAAGAGTGTTTTCATGTTTTTCCAGGGCCAACTTGATCCATGGACTTCCTGCTCACTCAATTGTTGTCTTCCCACAGGTTGGCTTCTTCAAACGGAACCTGAAGGAGAAGATGGAGGCTACGATCGATGCCTCCAATGGAATCCCTGGAGAAGACTCTGGGCAGCAGGAGTCTGAGAAGGAGGCCATGGATCCGAGCGGCCTGGATCTCCTCCTCACGGAGAAGAACCAGGATGGAGGTAGCACAGACTGAGGCCCAGGCCTGATGCAGGGGGCCCAGGACTGGACTTGGGATGTCTTGTAGCCATCTGCCTTTACTTGCATGTCACTCTGTGTCCTCTGGCAAGTCGCTGCCTCACCCTAGGCTCCAGTTTTTCTGTCTTGAACATGGAGTTCATTCCTACCTGCCTCCTTTGCAGGATCATGGTGATTCACTGAGGGGTGGGCCAGGAAGGCTACCGAGGTGAGGCCTGGTAATTTGGTGCTCCTGGCTTCTATCAACCCCTCTTAGTTTCCTCCCCTGGAGGAGCATGTCTGATCTCAATTTGAAGAAACTATAGTCCCAGGACCCAGTGACATTCCCGACCCTCACACCCACCTGTCCTTGGAGGTCCATGGAGGTCCACAGAGGTCTCCAACTCCCAGAACTTGCCCTGCACTCTCTCCCGCATGGAGTCCAGTCAGCTTTCCATTCTGCTTCCTGAGAGCAGATCTGCTACATGTCACTCATTGCTACTGCAGACCCCTTGCTCTTTAGCTAAAGACCAAATTCCTTAACATGCCCTACAAAATCTGTGAAGTATCCTTAATGCAACACCAATGCAAAACTGGGCCCTTTTGCCCTTCTGGCCTCCTGTAGAGAGAGACTTCCCACCTCCCTTCTAAGCTCCAGTTACACAGGCCTTTATCACTTGCCAAGCTTTTTCTGCTCTCACTGCCTTCACCCAGATAGCTCTCTCTGCCTAGAACATCACCCTCCTTTTCCTAGCTAACTCTCTCATCAGTCTCCAGGTCTCAGCTCATGTATCACTTTCTCAGGGCAGCCCCCTGACCCCGACTCATTTGGGGTCTCATATATGCATGCAGACTATTATGCAATTGTCTGTATTAGCTGGGATCATATTTGTTAATTGTTAAATAATATACTTAATATTCATATTTCAAATCAAACAGTGAACTCCATGGGTAGGGATCATACCTTGGGAACCCTAATGATATCACAGAGCTAGACACATAGTAGGTAATTGACACAATTTCAGTCAATTAATGAGAGAGCCATGTGTGTGATAAGAGGAACAAATTTGGATGGGCCCACAGCGGGCTCAGTCTTCCACAGGTGCCTGCCCCCTCGATCCACAGCCCCGCCAGGACTCCATCACACCCTCACTCTGGCCTCCACCATGAGACTCTGAGCTCATGTCCATTCATCTGGCTCCCACTGCCAAGCACACTGCCTGTGTATATTTACCCAATAAATGTGAAATTCTGTCCAACTTTGTGATGTTTCTGTCTTGGTGCAACATTCTAGCCTGGCTCAATTAAATGAACATTTTGTTCTCGACCCTCTCACTAAGTGGGAACCAAATATAGCTCTCATTTTTCTTTTCTCGTTTTTCTTTTCTTTTCTTTTCTTTTTTCTCTTGTCTTCTCTTCTCTTCTCTCCTCTTCTCTCTCTCTCTCCCCCCTCCCTCTCCCTCTACCCACTCCTTTCTTCTCTCTCTAAAGAAATAAACATATTCTTTAAAAAGAGAGAGAGAGAGAGAAAGAGAGAGAGAGAAGCAGGGAGAGCTCTGGCCAGGTAGCTCAACTGGTTAGAGCATCATCCCGTGCACCCAAAGTTTGTGGGCTGGATCCCTGGTCAGTGCACACACCTAAGCTGCACAACTGATTGATTGACATTTCTCTTTCACATTGATATTATTTCTCCCTTCCTCTTTCTAAAAATCAGTAAAAAAGTATCAGTTGGGTGAGGATATTAAAAAGAGAGAGAAGCAGGGAAAGAGACACAGAAAGTGAGGAAATGTTAAAGAACCATTAACAATTTACTAAGACGTGAGAATAGACCCTCCCTTGCTACTGCTCCCTCCCCCATACCTTTTTTAAACCCTGAGTCCATCTCCAGCAGGGACTGAAGAGGCTAGTCACTACTTCCCTCTTGTGGTCAGTTTTAACAGGACTCGCAGAACTGCTAAAAAGTACAGCAAAGTGTCTGTAGGTAGGTCTGGTGAAGCATGTCAGGTTGTATTCATTCACGCAGTATTTCTTGAGTGCTTTGTGTCATACTCTGTTCTTTGCTCTAAAGACATGGTGATGAACATGACAGACAATTCCCTACCCTCAAGAAGCTTCACTCCAGTGAGGAAACAGAATGAAAATGTAGAAATGTGATTCCGGGCAGTGATAGGACTGTGAAGAAAATAAAGCAGGATAATGGGGTTAGAGGGCAATGGAGACAGTCCTTTTATACAGGTGGTCAGGAAAGTCTCTCTAAGAAGGTGATATTCTATGAGGGGAAAAAAGTGGATATTTGCATCCAGGTTGGAAGCAAAAAAAAAAAAAACCCACAAAATGGGAGAGCACAGTGTGGGAGTGCGGAATTGGGACAAATGTAATTGAACAATAAAAAAAAGCACAGAAGATCTGGGAGGCTCAGTTCAGAGCAGACCTGCCACCATCATCCCCAGGAGTCTATGTACCAACTCACTCATCAGCACCTGTCCTTGAATGCCTACACATCCTGTCCCACCTGTGTGCCTTTGTACGTGCTGTTCCCCTCACCAGCACGTGAAGTTCTACCTCTTTTCTACCCACAAACCCCCCTATTTCAAAGCACTTTGAAGCATTTCTTAATCCCATAATTTCTGGACAAAATGACCCATTCCATCACCACTTTGTTTATACCTCATTGGGGCACACAGCACTGACTGTTTGGGTTCCTGTCTCAAGAGTAGAAAGTTCTGGAAGGTAGGACTCAGGCCTCACTCATTTATGTTAAACATTGACCCCTCATCGGGACTGGCACAAAGGTTCAAATGTGGCCCTCAAATGTTTTGGTCTCAGGGCCCCTTTATACTCTTAAAAATTATTGAGAATCCCCAAAGAGCTTTTGTTAAATGGGATATACCTATTGGTGTTTGTCCAGTTAGAAATGAAAATGGAGGGAGCAGTTTAAAACATAACACCCAAGTCCTACATTCCACATAAGCTATCAGAGTGATGACATCTGCCATGACAAGTCATGCAACCTCTCGGAAACACTGTCCTCATGGGAGAAAAGCAGTGAAAAAGCAAATAACATCTTAGCATTGTTAGTGAAGTGGCCAGACCTGGTTAGCCCAAGGCTTGAATCCAGGCTCTGCTACATGTTGTGGGGCAGTCACTTCTCCTCTGTGGGCTCATTCCTTCATCTGTAAGATAGAAACAATGACTGTGCAAGGGCGGGTGCCAAAGTAGGTTTACAGTTGTTCTTATGGAAAATAATAAATAATAATACAAAAATAAACTCTGTTCCATGTACTCACAACTCTAAGCCTATGCTGCTCCACCCTGTGTATGAGTATACCTCAGAGCTGGTATGAGCGTTAAATGAGATAACACTTGTAAACTGCTGAGCACTGTTCTGAGCCCATCAGTGGTGGATAGAAATGGTTGTTTAGGTGAGCAGGATGGTGTGGTAAAAGCAGCGTCCTGCACCACAAATCAAGACATCTGGTGTTAGGAGTTCTTACCTCTTCCATTATTAGTTCTTCCACTGCGATCTCAGAGAAGACACATGCTCTTTCTGGGTTTGGTCTGCCCCTCCTGGCATCTGGAGGTACCTCAGGACTGTTGTAGAAGAGAGGGGTGGGGGCTGAGCAGCGGAGTCGCCATCCTCATTTGATGAGCTTTTATGTACTAATATTCTGTCCCTACAGGCTACTTTATCAATTAAGCACCACAAGCACCGTGCCCAGGACACCCCAGCTTTCAAGGGTCTATGAACATGGTTTGGAGGCTGAAAAAGCATTCAGCTCTAAAATATGAAAATTAAATTGTATAATTGAAATAAATGTTGAAGTCTACAAAAGTGGTATTCATTTCAGATAAACCAAATGCAGTTCTGTGTATATACTTACATATACAAACTACAGGGTCCAGCAGAAGTAAGGCCTGCCTGAGTGTGGTTGGTAGGGTAATCATACAGGTATAGTGATTTATAGTTTTAATGTGCACGTTTCACCTAAAATTTCATATGGTATATCTGAGTGTGATAGTGTTATGTTGCAGAATTACATGCTTATGATTTTGTAATAAAAAAGGGGTATTATTTGTGCTGGACCCTGTATATTAAATGTGGGAGTATTTTAAAATTTTGTGTGGCAGAGTACCTGTACAAAAATGTGCGTAAAGTTTACAAAGGTCTTTAAAAGACTGAAATTTTACTTTAAAAGTGTTCTACTTCCAAAAATAATTAAAACTTTGAAAACCACTAAACACAGCCAAAGTCTATTGAACTACATGATTCTTTTTTTAAAAATATTTTAATTTATTTTTAGAGAAAGGGAGAAAGAGGAGAGAAACATGGGTGTACAAGAGATTCCTCCATCAGTTGCCTCTTGAACACCCTCAAGTGGGGACCTGGCCTGCAACCCAGGCATGTGCCCTGACTGGAATCGAACTGGCGACCTTTGTTTGCAGGCTGGCACTCAGTCCACTGAGCCACACCAGCCAGGGCTGAACTACATGATTCTTAAGGCCCCTTCCAGGCTTGCAGACCATGAGAGGCCAGACTGAAAAGTGCTTAGGCCTTGGCACGGTAGCTCAGTTGGTTAGAGTGTCATCCTGATACGCCAAGGCTGTGGGTTTGATCAGGGCACATGCAAGAAGCAACCAATGCGTGCATAGACCAGTGGAACAACAAATCAGTGCTTCTCTGTATCTCTCCCTTCCTCTCTCTCTAAAATCAATAATTTTTAAATGTTTTTTTTTTTTAAAGAAAGAAAAAGAGATGTGCTTAGCCCTGGCTGGTGTAGCTCAGTGGATTGAGCGCTGGCCTGCAAACCAAAGGGTCACCAGTTCGGTTCCCAGTCAGGGCACATACCTGGGTTGCAGACCAGGTACCCAGTGAGGGGTGCTCAAGAGGCAACCGCACATTGATGTTTCTCTCCCTCTCTTCCTCCCTCCCTTCCCCTCTCTCTAAAAATAAATAAAATATTTCTAAAAAGAGGAAGAAATGTGCTTAGAGAAGTGATCTACCCTTGACAAGTTATAAGGCCCCAAGGATGGACATGGGGCTGGGGGTAATGTCAGTATCCTGAGGCCCATGAGCCCTTATAGAGCTACAACTGTAAGGTCTCTTGAGGCGAAGCTCCTGGGGGCAGGTGAAGCCAGACAGATGAGGTCTAAATGTCTGATCTGCCTCTTAGGTATGGAATGACTTTGAGCAGGTCACTTAGTCCTGTGACCTCCACTTTCCTAATCTGTGAAATAGAATAAATAAATCTTCACAGGGCACTGTCAGGCCATACCCCAGAATCCCCCAGAATCACTGATGACACCAACTTCCCACTCTTTCCTGAGGAGCCAACTGTTAGGAGAGCTGAAGCTCAGATGAAAGTAAGATAAAGGTGGGGTGGTAGCAGGGTGCTTACACCAAAAGGTCCAAGGATCCTAAAAAAGGAGGTGGAGCTGTAGCAAATCAGTAAATCAGCCCATTCTGGTCTGAGGATCTTAAAGGCTGACATCCAATTCTTGTACTGAGTCCAATACATGAACCCCTATGGGTGGAGTTGGAACTTGTGGTGGCCCTGACTCTGGTCAGGGTCTGCACAGAATGGTGGCAAGAGGTTGCAGCTGGGTTGGGGGAGGGAGAAAGACACAGCTGGGTGCTGGAAGCCAGGGAGAAAAGGTACACAGGTTCTATGCCTGGGTATGAGAATCAGGGTCTGCTTTCTAGCCCAAGGGCAGACACTTCACATTTGGGAAGAGGGATATCAACAAAGTTGAAGGGCTTTCTCAAACCCACAATAGGCCCTCTGTATCCGTGCAGCCTTCAAAGCACAGATGAACTTGGGCGGATATGGGCAAGTTGTGTCTCCCGAGCCTCTGATAAGGTTACAGTGAAACGCTTACTATAAAAGCACTTCCCAGGCAGAACTCTATAGCTGCACTGACTGCTGGTAGTTATGACCTGATGTCTCCCACTGCCCAGGACACTTCAAATGCACACATGTTAAGGACAGATTTCTTTCAGCACATAGAGGTTTTTATTGAACTCAAATTCAGGGGCTCAAAAGCCTGAGGAAGACAAGGGAGGCTGGGTTTGCACTGAGGCCCAGGCCCCACTCTGGGCTTTACTCCTCACCCCACCTACCCTAACCCCTTCCTGACTCAACAAGGGTCTCAGTAGCTACTGATCTAAGCTAACCCACTCTAAGAAGCCCTCCCCCTCCCCCCTCCCCCATCTAGCACTTTGCCAAGCAGGCATCCACCAAGAGGCAGGCTACTGCTGAGGCCAGGTCTCTGTTGACCTCTCTCTGGATTCTCCAAGCCTCCTGCTGCTTATTTGGCTTCCCTCCAACCCCTTTTCATTACCCATTTCCCATAAGTCTCCAGGGCACGAAACTTCCTCCACCCTAGCCCCTCTCCTCCTAATATCCTCAACTCCTCTTTTCTCCCCCAGCTTTTCCACTATTCTAAAGATTTTTCTAGCTCCGTGTCCCCACCTCTTCCAACCAAAACAGGCCTGCCCCTGACAGGGCCCCAGGTCAGCGACGGCCGGCAGCATGGGTCCGCTGGTGGCGGATGAGGTCAGAGCTCTGTGAGAAGGCTTTTCCACAGTCATCGCACTTGTAGGGCCGCTCCCCGCTATGGACTCGGTGATGCTGCAGCAGTGTTGAAGATCGGCAGAAACCCTTACCACACACAGCACATCTATAGGGCCTCTCGCCTGTGTGGGAACGCTGGTGCTGAATCAGCGTAGAAGAGCGATTGAAGGTCTTGCCACAATCTGGGCAGCTGTAGGTGCGGCCTGGCAGGTGGGTGCGTGCATGGATGGCCAGCACAGAGCTCTGACCAAAGCGCTTGCCGCACTCAGGACACTTGAAAGGCTTCTCACGGGCATGGCTTCGGGCATGGGGTATAAGTGCCGATCGCTGGGAAAAGCTCTTGCCACAGATGCCACAGCTGAAGGGCCTCTGCCCAGTGTGCACTCTCTGGTGACTACGCAGGGATGAGTTCTGGCTGTAGCATTTACCACACTCAGGGCAGCTGTAGGGCCGCTCATGGCTGTGAGTGCGCTGGTGCCGCAAGAGGTAGGAGCTGTCTCCAAAGGCCTTGCCACAGTGCGGGCACTTGTAGGGCTTCTGACCAGAGTGAGTGCGCTGGTGGCGAAGCAGGTAAGAGCTGTCAGCGAAGGCCTTGCCACAACGGGGACACTTGTAGGGCCGCTCCCCTGTGTGGGTACGCTGGTGTTTGATGAGGTCAGAGCTCTGGGAGAAGGCCTTGCTACAGACCTCACATTTATAGGGCTTTTCACCCGTATGGATGCGCTGGTGCTGGATCAGAGTGGAGCCCCGGCCGAAGCTCTTCCCACAGATGCCACAGATGTTAGGCCGAGGGCCCTGCCCACCCCTGGCCCGGCTCCCCCTTCGGCCTGTTCCTCGCAGGGTCCCTGTCAGGCCCAGGGGATTCTGGAGCATCTCAAACTGGGGTGTAGCCAACAGGGCCCCTGTGGGCATCTCAAAAGGTGGCCCTAAGGGAAGGTCCCCTGTGGGCTGCTCCCCAAACCCCTGGGTGAAGGAGTCCAAAGGATGGACTCCCAAGGGGATGCTCAAGGAAGTCTTTTCCTCTGGATTGAGAAGCATCTCTGTACTTTCCTGGAATTTGGAATTCTGAGCTTCAAATTCAGGGCTTTGGGTTTTGAACTCAGGGTTTTGGGGTCCATACCCTGGGCTCTGGGATTCATACCCAGGACTTTGAGGCTCATACCTAGGGCTTTGTGGTTCAAACTCAGGGCTCTGAGAATCTGACTCAGGACTTCTGGGTGCAAATTCAGGGCTTGGGGGCACTAACCCAGAACTTTGGGACTCAAAATCTGGACTTTCAGGCTCAAACTCTGGGCTTTGTGGCTCAAACCCAGGGCTCTGGGGTTCAAGCCCAAAAGGAATCTCTTCGACCTCATAGTCCCCAGTGCCTTCTTGCTGAGAAATTTCCTCTTCCTCATTATTCTCATGCATGTTGCCTGCAGGATCAGAGAATTACAGAAAACCCAGATTGTGTGGAGCCTGGAAGGTCATTGGGTCCCACCATTAGTTGCCACAAACCTCTCCCTCCTCCTCAAACATGGTTGCTGGCCCTTGAGCAGGTGCTGAAATTCCCACCTTCCCCTCAGCAAACCCGAGAGACTCGGTTCCTGCCCCCACCCCCTCCAAGTACCAGATGTCCAAGTCCCCGGATCTCTTTCGCTCCCATGGACCACCACCCCATCTCCCGACCCCAGACACGCTCCTTGGAGGGGCACTCCTTCCCTCACCTTTGAGGGACCCTTCAGGCCCCATTTCGTCAAGACTTTGCATATCCTGCGGCTCGAAGCCCCACTGCGACGCCTCCTGTTCCATCCCCGCTGACTCCCAGTGCAGCTGCGGCGGCGGCAATGGCGGACGATCCTGCGACCCGTCCTGCGGTCCCTGAGACCCAGGACCTCGACGCCGGCCCACTCAGCGTCGCCCAGGCGACCTGGCTGCCTAGCCTCGGCCCCCAAGGCCGGACGTTTTGACCCTGGGCCTCTCCTGCCGGCAGGGCCCCTCCCCTCCCCTCCCCGCCCCCACCCACAAGGTCTCAGCTTGCCTTGGGGCCCTCACAGGCCCCCACTCGTTGTGGCCTCGGAGATGGGGCGGCTTCACGACTCGCCCTGCCGCCCCCAGACAACACTCCCCACCTGAGACCCCACCGTCAGGCCCCCAGCCCCAGGCTGGGCTGCGGCAGTCGACCCCCTCCCCCAACACAGGAAGTGTCCGTCCACGGCCAGTTCCCCCCGTTGGCTAGCGCCGCGGCCTCTCTAGGAGTGGCTGGAGGTGGAAACTCGTTGGCATTAACCCTGGGCTGGATGGCCTCGGAGTTGAGGTGGGGAGGTCGAAGTATTCTGAAGCCGGCGGGAGAGGCTGGGGCAGTTTGTGTGTCTATGTCCTAGGTCTCCGTCTGTCCAGTGGCCTATCTGTCCTTCTACCGGGCTCTGCGTCCGTCAGTAACTGTGGCCAAGGGCGAGATCACAAGCGAGACCAAGGTCAGCGAGAAGGAGCGACGCTTCCCGGCGCCAGCGGGGGCGGTGTCTAACTTCTCACAGCTCTCGGGCTTCGGGGTCAACTCCGGCCGCGCCTGGGGAACCTAGACGGACCCTCGCACCTCCTGTAGCTCTACGACACTCTGGGACACCCTTCTCCCACTTCCCGCTCTAATTCCCCTACCCACCCACCGGCGTGCCTACCCCCACTCCGCCTGGCTCCCTCCTTTATCTGCTCCTAATTTCCACCCTCACTACCTCCGGCTGAGCTAGGATGGTTGCCAAGGAAACAGCTCCGCCTCTGATTTCCAAAGGCACCGCCCCTACCTCTGAAATGCTTAGGGATTGGCCAGTGAAGCTCATGCTCCTATCGTCCTGCCTTCTCCCACTACACCCACAGCTGCACATTAATGGTTGCCAGGAAACACGAGGTACCCTTTTTGATTCGTTGGAAGGTATTCAGGCTGGTTCCACCTCCCTTGTCAGCCAAAAGCTCCCTGTAGAAGGATCTCTACCTGGCGTCTTCCCTCGAGCTGGGCCTGTGCTTTCAGAACTTTCCCCGGTTGGGTTTACCCTTCATTTTGTTTTAACTTTCTAAGGAATAAAAGCCCAGGGATCTAAGGGCAGACACTCCTCCACTCTTTCTCAGCACTTTCCTGAAAAAGCCTGTCGGGAGATCCTTCCTCAGAAAGGAAGCTGCTTTCTTTTCAATTACCCTGCCTCTTCCCTCCACATTCCCCAAAGCCTGTGTTTAACTCAATCCTTGGGAGCCTTAGCTCATGGTTCCTGAATTGTCTCACAGGGAAGCAATGGTCATGTGGGAATTTCTTCCAGGTAAGGGTGGGGTGATAAGAGTTCAGAAGTGGAACTGGAGAGAACCATCGGTTCTTAAGACAGCTGAGAACTCTCCAGCCCTGTTCGCCTTGGATAGAAGCTTGTAAAGAAAGGAAACTTGAGAAACATTGCCCTAGGTGCAGCTTTGAATCAAGGGGGGGAAAGGACCCTGGAAAGACAAACTTAACAGGATCCAATTCTTGTCCCTCGCTGCTGAAAACTAGTTTGGTAGCTGTGTTGATAGCTAAAGAGCCAAATTTCTCCTGCCTGCTAAAAACTAGTTTGGTAGCTGTGTTGATAGCTAAAGAACCAAATTTCTCCTGCCTGAGCAATGCAGAGTCATGGTTTGTGTTTTCTTGCTGCTTTCCCAGATAAATGAAGGGAAGAAACTGGTTAAGAGGAAAATGGCACCTTCCATTCTCCTTAAAAGAGACAAGCACAAGAATTTGGAGAATTCCAAGTGGTAAAGGATGAAAGGATGATGTCAACAGAGGCTTACAATTAGAATCACAGAGATCTTCCTACAAATACAGCAGAAGTACTTCTCTGCCCTCCACAGCAGCAGCTTCCAGCTTCATACCTCTCTCCATCCCGATGTCTGTACTAAAACCTCTCCCAAGAATGGACACCCTACAGGAACTGGTTGGAAGAACTGGACTTGGTGTACTCCCCGGTCAGCCCCAAAGCACTCACACAAATGAAGAGACAAGTCTCCTTCATGAGACATGACTTTCTGACCTGCTTACCCACCAGAAATTTACACAGGAGAGCAGCTGCTTCTGCAAAGTGAATGGCAAAGATTCCAGCCACAGGTTTAAGATCCACTGCCTGCACTCTTCATAGCATGGATTAAAAGCCCACAGGTAGCAGAAGTTGGGCCAGGGCTTCAACCTGCTTTGGCACCATCATTTGCATGTGGAAATTCAGTCTCACTAGTGCCAAGAATAAGAGTGGTTGGCTGACTTCGAGACAGCCTCCTCTAGTACCAGAACTATGTAATAAACCTTCAAGAGGCAACCAGCCTCTGTCTGCCACCAGCCCAGAGCAGTGAGTCTCTAAGCACAGGGAAGCCTCTGATGAGGGTTCCAACTTGGCCTAGCACTGACTAATCCAAGGTGGAACTCCACTGACCTTGTTCTACCACTCTGTGCTGGTAAGGAGCCTTGTGTATGTCCCAAGCTGGGCAGTCACTTTCCCCATAGCATCACCCCCTGGTGTGCAGCACTACTGGGGCAGAGCTGTTAGTGTACACCCAAGGCTTATAGTCAGCCCACACTTGAACAAGACTTTGCAAGGGTCTCAGTGTGAGAGGAGCTCCTGAATGAACTGCTCCCTCCCTGCATGCAAAGGACAAGCTAAGAGGCCTTCTGTTATGCTACAAGAGATGCACCAGTATATTCAAGATTTGAAGTATACAGGAAGATACCAGGTACAGCACAGGACCCTTTGTCAAGAGCAGAGGAAATGGGAGTCCTTGTGTATGGCTAGGTCCTTCCCTGGCCTGTTATTTGGAACAGGCCCTGAGACCAACCCTTTCTCTTACAAAGCTAAGGGCAGCTAGAAAGGAACATTTTGTTCAAAGCAGTGGTTCTTAAAGTTCAGCAGGCATAAAATTCCATTCCTGGATCCAGACTCAATAGCTAGAGACAGGACCCAGGAAGCTAGCTACATTTTCAAGAAATAGTATGTGATTCTTTGGCAGGAAGATTCTTTTCTTTGAAAAATACGGGCCTAAAACAGGTTTTAGCTTCTTTGCATCACAAACATCTTTACAAATCCTGTTCCTATAGGTGCACATAAACATTCCTACAAATTTTAGAGATCTTTGGAATTCAAGTGAGTACTTACCCTTATTTTAGTTGGCTCGGACAAACTAGGGTCATGTGGTCATGGCCTGACCTCACACTGGCCATATGGATGGGCTTGTGTCTGGCACAGACAAGCATTTCTCTGGTGAAGTCCTAGAAAAATTCTCTTCCTGGCCTAAACTGCTTCAGGTTCTGAGCCTCAAAGACCCGCAGTAGCAGAGAGCAAGCCCTACCTTTGGTGGAAGTATCCATGCCAAGAAATGAGGAGCTAAGAATGGAGGGAGGCTGAGGCTTAAACATTTTCATGACATTCAAAAAGTGATTTACTAGTGGAAAGTGGGTCATGAAGGGAGGAAGCAGAGGAGTTAGGTACAGTGTTTGGGCCTGGAGCAAGCCTTGCAAACTTCAAAGCACTCAGAGAAAGTAGTAATTATAGCACCTTTAATTGGCAAGCTGAGGGTAGGGTCCAGATCTGGCTTTGAGTCTGAGCTGAAAACTAGCATTTCAAGCTGGGCTTTCCCCAGGCAGTCCTGAGAGTTAGAGGATGGGAGGGGTTGTACACTGGCTTCTCTAGGGAATTAAAAGCTGGTACATAGGTAGTTCCTACTACCAATGTGCCTCCTCTCTCACCATGTCCCACTTGGTGGCACATAAGCCAATCCTCCCAGAAAAGTTTAGGATGGGGAATCAACTCAGTTCATTACTTCACCTGAACAGTGTCTTTTCCCCGAATCTTCTACCTTTTTCTTTAGAAGTTTCTCCAGGTTGACAAATCTGGTTTCTTCCTCCCTAAGGTAGGCCAGACAAGAGGCTGAATTCAGTAAAGAAGGCAAGTGCACACAGGCCAGCAGAGGACACATCCTCTGCTACTCCTCAAGTCAAGGGGCATCCTGACCAGAGGCAGGACAGGGTCTGCCCAGGGCTGGTTGCTTCCATCACCTGGACAAGGTTGGGTTCTAACCACAAAGGAAATCATAATAGCTGTATAATGTACTCACATGGTGAGAGGGGAAAGAATGTGTACAGAGCTTGGGAATACAGATGAGTACAGTTCCCTCTGGCTACTAATCCCAGTGTTCCTAGGCTAGTTCCTCTCAGTTCACAATGGTGGGTACCTGAAGAGAGTGAAGATCAGGCTTTGCTCATTTGCCCTGAACTCTCAGGTTGGTTGCTGCCTTGCCTTGGTCTGCCATGTGGCTGTTTTGTCACTTATCCTACACCTGGGCTTCACTGACCCTGGGCTGGTCAGTCCCCAGTTCTGGTCAGTACCTGGGTGCCCTCATAGGGAATGGCAGATGCCTCCAGAATCCTGGCTGAGACACTGGCAAGAAATTCAGGAATGGTGTGGTAAAGAGAGCAGTAAACCAAGACCTTACCATCCGTGTGTGTGACCTTGGACAGGTTGCTTAGCCTTCCCCAGTTTCAGTGTCCCCAACTGCAAAAGTTTAGATCCCTTCCAGTTCTAGAATGTGATAAGGCTGGCCCTGCTGACTGGGTCTAGGGTAGATAAGGCCTGAGCCATAGGGCTCTCCCAGGGAGGCCCAAAGAGGGCTGGAGGGTGCTCTCAGGGCCTTCCCCTTTAGACCCAGGAACTGCTGGCCAGCTGAAAGCAGTGCTGTGATACAGCAGAGATGCCACTGGTTTGGGGAAAAAGATTCCGTGTGACTGCCTCTTCCAAGCAAGACGCTCCCCTCCTCGGGCAGTTATGAGGGTGAAATGAGTTTATGGAGAAGACAGTACTTTGTTAACAATAAAATACAATGCAAGCAAGCTCTAAAATAAAGCCTTTTACTTTGTTCCTGCCACCCTTTCACATACATGCTCTCTACCTGAATCCCTGATTTGGGAAAACTTGAATGCTATATGCAGTGGTTTGCAAACTCCAGTGACCACAGGAGCCCAAAAGGTCCTGTAAAAGAGCAGAAACTGGCCCTGGCTGGTGTAGCTCAGTGGATTGAGCGGGGGTTGGGAACCAAAGTGTCCCAGGTTCGATTCCCAACCAGGGTACATGCCTGGGTTGCAGGCCATAACCCCCAGCAACAGCACACTGATGTTTCTCTCTCTCTCTATCTTCCTCTCTTCCCTCTCTAAAAATAAATAAATAAAATCTTAAAAAAAAAAAAAAAAAAAAAAGAACAGAAACTACCAGATGGAGAGGGCCTGCTTTGCCAGAGACACGGTCAGACCACAAGTGCCAGCTGATGCTGGTCAGGAGCTGATGTGGAGCAGTGAGCTTGCTAAGCAAAGGGTACAGCTGCCCCCAGCTCCCACCAACTGTGGTTTTGTGGGAGCTTAGGGAGAGTTGCCAAATCTTTTGAACTTCTCAGGAGAAGTCAGAAACCTGGATTTTTGTATGAGAGCTTAACCAGTAATTTATAAGTTTTTAAAATTCTGACTCAACCAAAAAAATAAATAAAAAGATAGCTATAGGCCAGATTCAGTACATGGCCATCAGTTATTAACCCCTGCAGTAAAAAAAACAATGGGTAAAACAAGGTTCCCTTCTACCTCAATCCTCTTAACACATGGAAGCTGACAAACAGCCTTTTCTTCCTACAGTGGAGGCCTAGTGGGGGGTTCTAAGCCCAGCCCTAACTCAGTAAAGGGGACTTCTAGAGTCTAAGACAGTAAAGAATGAGGTGTCAGCACATCAAGCTGGTGAGGGCCTAAAATAAGATGGTTCTCACCCCCCAGGTCCAGCTCTTACAAGGAATTCTATGACCTCCCTGGACTTCCCAGAAGTTGAATACCTATTCCAGCTTGGCCCTCAGGAAATGTTCAGGTCCTCACGCTTTCTCTTTTCACCTTTGAGGCTATCACCCACATTCCTGGAATATCTCTGGGTAGTGCTGGAAGCCCACAGGTGGGTCTAGGTTCCCTCGCCCAGGGGATAGAGGTACAGGCAACCCACTCGTACCCTGACCCCTGCGTCTCCCAGCACCAGGCCTATGGACCCACTGGTGTTTGGCCATGGCTGACTTCTGGGCAAAGCACCTGCCACACTGAGGACAGGGGTAGGGGCGTTCCCCACTGTGGGTGCGCCGGTGGGCTGCCATTTCGGAGCTCTGTCGGAAGCAGCGTCCACAGTCTGGGCACGGGTAGGGCTTCTCGCCTGTATGGGTGCGCCCATGGCGCCGAAGGTCTGAGGCATGGGCAAAGGCACGGCCACAGTCTGGGCAGGGGAAGGGGGTCTCGCCACTGTGGACCCGCTGATGCTGGTAGAGGGCAGAGCTCTGGCTGAAGCAGTGGCCGCAGTCAGCACAGCGGTATGGCTTCTCACCCGTGTGGACCCGTAGGTGGGTGGTAAGGGCAGAGCGCTGGGTGAAAGCCCGGCCACAGTCAGGGCAGCGGTGAGGCCGCTCCCCACGGTGAATGGCCCGGTGCTTGCTCAGAGAGGAGGCTTGGCCGAAGCCCTTGCCACAGTCAGGACAAGAGAAGGGCTTCTCACCAGTGTGGGTGTACAGGTGCTCCACCAATGTGGAGCGCCAGGCAAAACTCTTCCCACATAGATAGCAACCATGACGCTGATCTGCCCTTGGAACAGGGGGATGGGCAAAAAGTGGGGGGCGACCCCGGTGAGGCACCTTGGATGATTGCTCCACACTGTAAGGGAGCCCAGCAGAAAGGGGTTTGAGAGCCTTCAGCCCAAGAGGCCAAGTGTCCATAGAAAGGATCTTCTCCAGTGCCTCAGTGCCTTCTCTTTGTCCTTTCTCTTCCTTGTTTCTGGAACCTGCTAGGAAACAAGGGGAGAGCTCAGACCCTGGCTCATTTCTCCTGGTCCTTGAAGCCCACATCCTATATCAGGAGCATCAAACTCATTATCACTGGGGCCCACATCAGCCTCATGGCTGCCTTCAAAGGGCTGAAATAATTTTAGGACTGTATAAATGTTACTACTCCTTAACTGTTAAGGAGTTGAAATTACATTCGGCCCTTTGAAGGCAACCTCGAGGTCGATGTGGCCCCCAGTGAAAACGAGTTTGACACTCCTGCCCTATAGGGTGACAGAGAAACCTCATATATAGCCACCTTCTGGACCCACAGATGCCCCTGGGACTCAGCTCAGTATAGGCAAGGAAACTTGGAGTGAAACTTTTCCTCAGCTGCAGAGGACAGAAAGAAAAGGAGCAGAGACAAAGTGGGAAGAAACAGTACATTCTACCTGAGACCTGGGGAAATGGCTGGGGGACAGGCAGAAGACATTTTAGTGGGATCAGTAGACGCTTAAGAGTGCTTCAGGCATCAGAAACAGCACAGAGAGGGATGTGAACCACGTTCAGAGGGGCTGGGTATTGTGCAACCAACTGCCAGGATGAACTGCTAGAAGAAAACAGTAGAAGCCAAGAGAAAGGAAGCAGCTACAAAAATAAAACAGAAAATAAACTCAAACACAGGATGTGGCAGAGGAGCTAGATGCAGGCAAACAGGAGGGATGACGTGGAGCTCAACAGAGCTTAGAGACCAATTAGATGCGAGGGGCTCAGATTTGCAGGAACTGGGAGTGAAGGCAGGTATGCCAGGGACCCGCACCCCAGCAGAGCCAGGACACACTCACAGCCCCTTTCTAGGCAGAATCCAGAAGCTGGGCAGCGGCCAGGCATCATCGCCTTAGCTGGGAATGCACATCAGGGAAGAAACGGATAAGCAGAGTAAGGAAGTGACAGAGGGTAGCAGGTCTGGTCAGGCCCTGAGGAAGACCTGAGACGGAGTCCCCAGTACTTCACCTGTGTCTTCTGACAGACACTCTCCCAACTCGGGATCTCGGGCATCTGAACCCCACAGTTCAGCCTCTTCCTCCATCCAGGAGATGAGGGCCGGCTTGGTTTCTTGGAATCCTGGCGGAGAAGAACGCAAACGCTGCCGAGGGGCCACCGCCCACCCCGCAGTCCCGACTGTCCCGACGTCCGGGACCGAAGAAGTCACACTCCCCGTGCACAGCCCGAAGGCTGGGCAGGGTGGATGGGGATGTGGACCCAAGTGAACAGTGGGGCTCTCACCGAGCGCGCCCAGGTGGCCGTAGGTCTCCCGCATCACGTCCCGGTACAAGGCCCTCTGCACAGGGCGCAGACACCCCCACTCCTCCGGGGAGAAGTACACGGCCACGTCCGCGAAGCTCACAGGCTTGCGGCTCCTCCCCTCGCGCACGGCCCCCTCTGGTTCACGTGCGGAGAAGGGGGCCGGAGGTGGCGCCATGGGAAGTGCCAGCCCCGGAGACAGGCCAGCGCTGTCCCTCGGTCCGCCCGGCCTCACGTGCTTCGGAACGCCTGCCCGGCCCGGGCGCCCCAGGTTCGGGGAGCGGTCAGTAAGGCCGGGGAAGCAGGCAGAGGCTTCCCCAGGGACCACGCGGGTGGCTGAAAGTTGGTTGCTGGAGGCACAGAGAATCGGGACTGGAGGACGTCTTCTTAAGAAATGGCGGCAACGCGGCCTCACGAACCTGGAACCTACGTAGTTTTGCCCAGATGATGTCAGCCCAGGGTCTCCAGGTTGCTTGGTCGCCAGCCCACAACCAAAATGGCCGCAACAGCTACCTGTGCCGGAGCAGGCGTCCTGCTAGGTTTCAGGACCAGCCGGACCACCCTTCTCCGCGCCGTCCCCGCCCCACTGCGCCCATTGGCGGGGCAGCGGCTCCGCCCAAGTCTGGAGGACCAACCTGGCGAGGCAGGAGGTTAGCGTGGGGCCACAGCTGTTCCAGCCCTGACCTGCCATGCCCCGCCTTTGGGAGTTATTTTTTGTGGTGAGGCGTTCATAATTAAGCCCCAGCGGCCCATTGGATGACAAGCAGCGTTTTCTCCAGTGCTGAGGGTAGAAAAAAGTAGTGAGTAAAAATGTTTTCTATTGGAAGATTGTCCGAACCTGAAAATCTGGGAGCTTCTATTTCAGGAGATCGTGAGGGCTGCTAGGAGAAAGTAAGGGTAAAATCTTAGAAAGGTCGGAAGGAACCTCTTTATGAAGGGCATGAGCCTACCCTCCCTCCACATGCCCTGCAGGTCGCATCTCGAACATCTGTTTGTGTCTAGCTCAGGCCTGGCTCCTGAGCTCCTCTTGATCAGAGAACCACCTACCACTTTGCCTCTGCACGGATGTCCCACAAGCACCTCAGACTTGGCATGGCTCAAGCTGAACTCATCGCTTCCTTCCCACAACCTGCCCCTTCTGAGTCTTTATCTCAGCAAATGGCACCAGCAATCCCTGGCATGTATAACTCCAAACCTCCTTCTCTCACTGGGCATATTTATTGACTTCCCACTCTGTGCTCCCACACACCTTCCTAAACATGCTGCCCTAAGAAGACTTGATACTTTTTTCTTCGGTCAGCTAAATCAATCACAGCATTTCACACATTTCTGGGAAATGCACTTGATACCTTTAATGGGTTCAGGCTCTAGTCTGAAACTCTTCTCTGTTTGCCTCCCTCAGTAGTAAGTAGTTAGGCATGAAGAGTGGAAATAATAGGCCAGGTACAGAGGGTCACCATCACAAGAGACCCAGGTACCTAGCAATGGGCAAAACTACAAGCCCTTGCAGGACTACTCTCCTAAGCATTAACCCCTGGAGATGACATCTAGGCCTCAGCTGGGTTTCAGCTCCAGGCCCAGACAAGCAGCAAAATCAGCTACTGCCATAACTGACATTAGGGCCAGCTACATTGACTAAAAACCCCATGCTCGCACTGACCAATCAGTGGGAACCACAAACCTGATGGGGAACACCTGGAAAGCTGATGAACACTTGAGATCCTCCCCTGAGACGTTACGACAGGGACCTTGTGTGTGCTCTCTTTCTGGAGTGTCCCGGTGCCTTTCCTCTTTCTTCCTCTCTCCCATCTCTCAAGGTACATCATATCTATCTATCTATCTATCTATCTATCCTTCCCCCCCACCACTGCCAAGCTCCAAGGCCCTTCTTTTGTAACTTGTTTCCTGAGCCCATTTCTTCTATGGCTCACTTCTTCTACCTCTGTGACTTTCTAAATAAACTTTCTCTTGCAATTTGAGTCTTGACTCTGAAGTATTTCTTAGCCAGAATTCAAGTACCAACGGGTTTGTGGAACTGAGGTCTAACACCCGGTGCCATTTTGCCACCAACACTTCCAAAGGCCTTCTTGAGTCTTCCGCCTGACACCTTGTATCTGGTAGATGCTTCTCCCTACAGCTGGGGAGCTTGAAAGTAAAGAGTTGATCACAGTAAAAAGGGGAGAGGAGAAGACAAAGTCTAGAAAGGGTAAGGACACAGAGTTGCCCAGGGACTCAACTTCAGTCCTAGCTCTGTCAGCCTCTCAGGCCCCTGAAGAACACAAGAGAAAACAGAAAATTCCCATTAAGTGCAACAGCATTTTGTCACCTGTCAGTGCCCACCCCTCACTGTGGTGCCTATGACACATAGGCCTAGAACAGCTCTGGGTAGCTCTGGAAACTTACAGAGGGTCTGAACCCTCCTGGGGAATAAACTAGGGCAGTTTGCCTGTGGTACCAGGCTGGTAGACCTCTGGCTGAAGCACTTTGCACAGCAGGGACAGAAGTAGGGCCACTTGCCTGTGTCAGTCAGCAGGTAGCATGAGAGGTACTAGCTAAGGCAGAGGCAGGTGCCACACTAGCTGGGAAGTGTCCCTTTTCAGAGAATACATTGGACCATGGTTAAAAGTGATGGCAAAGCGTGACTGCACTAGGGTGCTGCATTAGTGCTAGATATTAAAGACTGGGTGAAGACAGGGGAAGGGCAATGGAAAGGGCCTGGTTATGGGAAGCCTTGGCCACAGGCCAGGGAACAGGTCAGTGGTTGTTTTTTTGTTTTGTTTTAAGACTTTATTTATTTATTTTAGAGAGAAGGGACGGAGGAACGTCAATGTGTGGTTACCTCATGTGCCCACTACTGGGGACCTGGCCTGCAACCTGGCATGTGCCCTGACTGGGAATCGAACTGAGGACTCTTTGGTTCACCAGCTGGTACTCAATCCACTGAACCACACCAACCAGGGCCAGGTCAGTGTTCCTGACCCTGGGGGGCTCATGACAATTGATTCCCAAACAGGCTCTTTCTCCTGGCCCTTTCCAAATGTATTGTTTTTCTGAATGGCTGTTGTGACTGAGCAGATTCAAAACTGCTGTCACAACTTGTTATGACTGTTAATTGCCTTGTTAATTCTCTGAGGTCTACCAATGTTTGAGTGATGGAATCAACCTTTACAATGGCAGAAGCACTGAGATGGGTACCTAGCCCCTGGAAGCTCCCGCTAAACTGTGTTAGCCAATTAAAGGGCTCATGAGTCAGGGACATTCCCAACTACCTCAGGATCAACCAAAGAAGATACCTTCCACTGGAGGAGCAATGGTTACAGGGCCCAGGCACCTGGAGACAGAAAGGTGAGGTGCCTCCATCCTGAACTTGAATTCACATGCTGCCACTGAACTAGATTTTGGATGATTCATACAGCATGACTTGATCATGGGACCACTGGAGGCCTCAAAGTCACTTGAGAATGAGAGGGTTAAGATTTCAGTCTCCAGTGGGTGTCGTAAATTCAGATCAAGAAAAATAACGAACATGTATTTGATGGTTCTTGCTCAACAAAACATATTCCCTTCTGGCTGGAACTGAGACATTGCCCCCACTTCTCACCTTTCCATCTTTCGATGTTCTAAATGTTAGAGGCATTGGTGAACCAAGCTAACATTCCTGTTCTATATTTACACTAAACTCTAAATTTGCACTAGGGAGAGAAATAACAGGTATAAGGTCTGCTGGCAGAAGTATGGAGACCTTTGGGCAGACTGCTCAGGTCTATACAGACAGAGCCCCAGTTTTGTGGATATTTTCAGCAGGGGACAGAAGAGCTCCAAGAGGAACTTCTTGGAGATAGCATTTAAGAAGGATGTTACAGAACAGATGGGGGGTGGGGTGGGGCAATTATTGGTCTATCCAGGGACACCAAAAACTGTTACAGAACACATCCACACAGGACCAAGGGGGGGTTACTATATACTACTACCAAAAGGGCCCCCCACTAGGTTCGTTATGTCCACCACCTTATAGGAAAGACATCTCTCAATGCCAGAGATTTGTGGAAAGGAAAGGAAATGTTTATTTAAAGCTATACAGACTTAAAGTAGTGACCCAATGTCTTCATTAAAATATCAAAGTCCTTTAGGATACCCACAGATGCCCACAGTGCTTCCTTCTCCCCCGTCCTAATTTGGGGTACCGTATCTCAGGAAAAGAAGTAGACATCCGTGATTCTGGCCACAGACACCATCAGCTGTGTCGCCATCCAGGCAGGATCTCTAATTAATCCAAAGCCATGTAGCACCTTCTCATGGCCTACTGGCAAGAGTTCTTTGTACTCATTTTCCAGGCAAAGTGTCTCCTGCTTCCCAAGCCAAGTGATCCTCTTCTACCAAAGCTACAGGGGTCCCCACTCTGGCTAAAACTGCATGGTTCTTTCTTGGCAAAGCTGCGGGGAGGGGAGGGTCGCCACTCTGGCCAAAGTCAAAACCACTATCACCTCCTCTCAGCTAAAGCCGCATGGTGATTCTCTCTACCCATGCTGCGTGGATCTCCCCCTTACAGGGCTGCGGGGGTCCCCACTCTGCCAGAAGCGCGTGGCTCTCCCCTTTCTATTGCCACAGCCCCATAGTCCTCTTCGCACTGCTACAGCCACATATTCTCTCCCCAGTGGCTGCCACATCTGCATTTAAATCCCCATGCCAATCTTCCTCTACCCCATTTCCAACTCCTCCTACAATCAGTTACACCTGACAGCATTTCTGCATTATTCCAAGTTCACTGGGCTGCCATCATGAGTATGGGCAGGTGTGGCCCCATGTCATAGAGTCAATTTTCTCCAAGCTCTCATGCAGGCACTGTAACTCGGGGGACCTGCCCCCCAGTTACATCTTGGGGGGAAGTTCCTTCCATTCCCCTGGCTCAGAGTATGGCCACAGCTATTTAACATATCTATGCAGCCTGTTAAAGGTTATAGATACATTAAATGACCCTGCCAGAGGTTAGCTGCAAAGCTGTTGCTGTACAAAACAGCCCTGCATATTCCTGCTCCATGTGTCCCTTCCCCCAACTCACACCTGTGTGTGTGTGTGAGGGGGGGCGGTGAGGACATCCTAATATTTCCTGGACACCCTGAGTTCTGGACCCCATTCCAAATCCCTATTTGGGGCCCCCACCTTGGCTGCACACTGTATCAAGGGCATTGAAGGCTGTTAGATTTGGAGATATAGTGTATACAGAGCAGAACAGCAAGTATACAAGCCCATTGAGCTGGAGGCATGTCAAAAAACCAAAGACCCCATTTAGCTGGGACCAAATGGGACTGCTTGTCTGTAGGGAAAGATCTGGTTTGAATTGGAGGTTAGCATGCCATGGGCCTTCGCCTTGTGGCACGGGTGCTTACGTTTTTGCAGGAAGTACTGGAGAGCCAGTGGGGGAGTCTGTCGGGGGAGATTCAGTTATGAATTTCAGTTAGGGTGATCTGGCGGGAATCACATGAAACGGAGTCACCAGGGGCAGGAGTAGGGGCAAGTCAGGCACTTGATCATGCCCATCCCACCCGCCCCCTTCCCTTTTCAAAGATCAGGGAGGGACGGCCCTCACAGAGCACGCCCAGGTACCCCTAGGTCTTCCACATCACGTCCCAGACAATCCCACTCCTGGGGAAGAAATACACGGCCACCTCCATGAAGCTCACGGTGCCTGCCTGTTCACCCCCAAATCACCTTGCTTCCGGCCGGGCCTTCCCGGGCACCTCTGCTGGAAGCTAGGAGCAGGAACCGGGATAAAGCCATACCCTGCCGGGATCCAAAGTGGGATGCTGCCAGGGATTCGGCCTCGGGAACCAGGATCCTCTGGACCCAAGAGACCGGAACTAACTCCGGTTGGGGCCGCTCTAGGACGCGAGAACTAGTTACTGGAACTCGGTGGTCCCAGGACCGAGAAAATGAAGGCCCCTTCAGACAAGATGGCGGAACTCCAGCGTCTTATAGTTTTAGAGAAAGGCATTTAACAGCTTCAGTGTGGGTCTGGTGTTGATGACCAGGTTTATAAACCCCCTCGAGTTTCTTCTCTTGCTGTTCCGCAAGCGGCTTTGGAATCGCCCTCGCCCATAGGTAAGATGGCCGCAACCACCTCGGCGTCCGACGCTTGGCGGCTGAAAAGTGAGGCTAGGGTGTGCGAGCGCGGCGGGTGGCCAGGGGTCTAGCCCAGGGGGCTCCTGGCCAGACGTCCACTAACTCATCTCTTCTAGAAGGCCCACTCAGTGACCTGCTTTAATAAAAGAAATTTTTTATAAAGTAGTTCATTTCTAAATTTCTTTTTTCATTTACAAGGTACCCTGTTCCTCTCTTAACAGTTTCCTAAATATCCCTCCAGAGGTTGTGTTTATGTATGTATGTATGTGTCTATCTGTTATCTGTATTTCTGGTATTTCCAACATTTACTATGTCTTTAATTGAGGACACTGGGGTGAATGCCTCTCTGCCGTAGAGTTCACTCATTTCACAGAAGAGGAAGCTAAGGCCCAGTTGTTACCCGAGCTCAGGCAGCCCAGTAGCGACTTGGGTCTTCAGACTCCTAAATCGGAACCTTTTCCACCACCTCGCCCTGCCTCCTCCAGGCCTTTTCAGAAAAGCAACATGATTCTTTTGAATTTACTGACCCCTGCTAACCTTGTGAAAATGAATTGGATTCTTAATTTATTACGTTATGATTGCATAAAAAAATTAGATGAGCCCCGACCTGTGTGGCTCAGGGCATTGTCTGGCAAAGTTAAAAGTAGCTGGTTCTATTGCTGTCAGGACACATGCCTGGATTGCATCCTAGTCTGGGCTCGTCGGACAGGCAACATATCAGTGTTTCTCACATTGATGTTTCCCTGTGTCTCTTTCTCCCTCTCTTCCCCTCTCTCTAAAAATAAATAAATAAAATCTTTTTTTTTAATTAGATGAGTTAACGGATGACAGGGCTCATTGTTTTGATGCTCTCTTTAAATGTGCCCCCTGATTTCCCAATTCCAAGCTCTCCTAAACAGAATAATGGCAGACTATGCAAGAGCTGCAGTTGGTTTTGTGATATGACTAAGACTAATAATCTTTGCTTACCTTGATGTATCACTTATTGTATTCCAGACTAAGTGCTTTTGCTTGTTAACTCAGTTAATCCTCACAACACTTCAGAGATAGGTACCTTTCTGGATAAGGAGGCGGAGGCACAAAGGGATGACCTTGCCCCAGGCTTCACAGCTAGTAGTAACTCAGGATTCAAAGCCAGGCAGCCTGACTCCATACAACTGCATGCTGTACTGCCTCAAATTATTGAAGGCACAGTCTCAGCAGCCAAAGAGAAGTGGGATTTTAGGCCAGGTTACTAAGATGTAGTTGTATTGTGAGGTAGTGCAAGAAGCAGGGACCTAGGAGGTCAAGAAGAGCTGCTTCTGATCACACATACAATTCTATACTGTTATATAAATGTAAAGAGAAAAATTTTTAATGATGGGCTATGATATAAATATTGAAAAGCAAACACAAGGGTTATGTTTAGGGATCATGTCATGGGGGAGAAAAATGTCATTCAGTGTTTGGGAGGTATATGATGTTTGGGAGGTATATGAAATTGCCCTGGAGCAAGGCTGAGAAGCTTCACTAAAGATAGCAGCTCTCACCAGCGGGCTTCTCTTGCTCAGACCCTTGTTGGTTTGGGCCTGGGGTCTCCCAGCTGGTCTCTGGGCTTCCAGCCTTTTGCCTTTCCCATCCATCCAGCATTGCAGTCTTGTCCAGTGAAAAGAGGAAGTATATCAGCTGAGAAATTGGGAGGTCTGAGTTCCATGCTTACCTCTGCCACTAACTCAGCTGTGATCTTAAGTACCTTCCCTTCTCTGGGCTTCAGCTTTTCTCAGAGCCTATTCTGTGGACCAACATTCCCATGAGATGCTTGGTGGAAAGACAAGCATTCTTCCCTATGCCCCTTAAAGAGTCCCATCAACAAAGAAACCTATTCCACCTTCTGCTTCCCAAACCCTTCTTAAAACATAGAACTAGACATCTCCAAGAGCTCCCTTCCAGCTCGAAAATGCTGTGGTCCACCCTGTCATCACCCCCAGGGCCACCCCAGGAACTGGTTCCTCCATCTTCCCCACTCAGCTAAAAACCTTATTATTGTTTTGGGCTCCTCTGATGCTCTCAGCCACCACATCCAGCCCACAGACAGGCTCTGTCCATTCATCTTCCAGTGTTTACCTCTGGTGATACTACTCCCTATCTCTACTCTGCAGTCCATTCTCAGAACAGTCAGAGTGGGTTTTATTTATTTATTTATTTTTAATTAATTAATTAATTAATATCAGATTATCTTGACACTCTGCTTAAACGCCCCCCCAATGGTTTATATGAGGTACCTAAAGTAGTCAAATACATAGAGACAGATAGTAAAACGGTGGTAGCCAGGGGCTGGGGGAAGGAAGCATAGAGCGTTGTTATTTAATGGGTACAAGGTTTCAGTTGGGGAAGATGAAAAAGTTCTGGTGAGGGATGGTGGTGATGGTTGTACAATAGTGTGAATGTACTTAATGCCCCTAAACCATACACTTAAAAATATTTAAAATGGTACATTTTGTTATGCTCTCCCCTTCCTGGTGGCACTGCCTCTCTCCAGCTCCACCTTCTCTTTGACTCACCCCTCTCCAGTTCTGGTCACTCCTTGGCCTTCACACCCTCCCACTCCTGACCGCCCCTTGCCCAGCAGTCAGGCTCCCTTGCTCCAGCTCTCTATTCTCCATCCTTCAAATCTCTGGGGCTTACTTGTTCACAGATCATATTGTCAGTCACTGAGCCATACAGATTCCATGGCAGAAGCCTCTCATGGGTATCTTTCTTCCCAACTCCAAGGTCAGGAAGCAAGAACAACTGCAAGAAAAGGTCTTGCTCTTTAACTTGGTCCCAGCTCCTGGTCACCTCTATTTGGGGGCAGATGTCCTGTCTCCTCCCACAGGTCACACTGCACACTGTTTACAAAGACACCTTCTGACAGTACCTCTCGAATAGCCCTGCTCCTGCTCAAGAACTCTATGTACCTACAGTGCCTGTGGGGTAAAGCTTAAGCTCCTTTGCTGGGACCTGTGGCCTTTCCAGTTTGGCACGCACCTCTCTGCTGCTGTCTGCCATCATTCATTACCTAGTTCTTTATGGTTCAGTCAGGTAGAACTACTACCGTTCCTTATGCATGCCTATCCTGGTTGAAATCTTTCTCATTCTTCAAGGCCAATTTGAACCACTTCCTCCAGGAAACCTTGTTTCAGAAGACCTGCCTAGGTCTCCTCTTGGTCCTCCTTACATACTATTTTATATTGATTAGAATAACAACCACTCTTTATTAAATACTAACATGCAAGGTACTCTTTTATATTATCTCATTTAATCCTTGCAGCAATTTTATGAGGTAGGTGCTATTATCATCCAGGTTTTATAGATGAAAATACTAAGGTAAGAAGTGACTTGCCCAAGATTGCATAGCTGAAAAGCAAGTGAGTCAGGATCTGAACCCAGACAGTCTGCCTCCAGAGACCATGCTCTCACCTCTACTCTACACTGTGTCCATTTTTTATCCTCTTTATGAAACAAGGCTACCTGGCTGCTCCCTTTGCCTGAAAATCTCCCACATGCCAACTACCTAATGCTATGGGAGGTACAACCCTCTCCTTCTCTAAGGTCCATTTTCTGGTTTATCACCAACCAGGTGGGTTAGGTGGTGCCTCTGAACACCTTTCATCACAGCCCCAATCACTCTTCTGAGTCAGGGTGTGCTGGAGCCCAGCACAAAAACCGAGAGGCCTCAGATGTTGCTCGTTGAATGACAGAATGGAGTCAGCCTTTCTCAGCCCCAGAACTCCCTTATCAACTCCCTTATCACCTCCCTCCAACAGAAGGTCACTGAATATTGTCTGTACTTTTTTTCCTTTTTCTTTTTTTAATCCTCATCAGAGGATATGTTTATTGATTTTTGAAGAGAGAGACAGAGAAACACTGATGTGAGAGAGAAACACATTGATCAGCTGCCTCCCCATACACACCTCGACCAGGGATCAAATCCAAAACCTAGGTATGTGCCCTGACGGAGAATCAAATCCACAACTTTTAGGTGTGTGGAATGACGCTCCAACTGAATAACTCAGCTTGGGCTCTACTTTTTTTGGCGAAAGATCATGGGCTTTGGTGGGGCTCTGTTTTCCTGCTGAGACTCCCCCAGACAGGTAGGGTTGGGCCCTGCATCCTGAGGAGCCACCTCTAGCCCCAAGGGGAGGCCACTCTGGCTGGAAGCTAAGGACCAAAAAAACCTTTCTTGTAGTTGCCATTGTTTACTGTCCTGCTGCTTTCCTGCCTGGATCTCAGCTCTTACCTCACTCTCACTTGAGACCCTGATCATGTTCTGCCCAGATCTGACTACTCAGAGAAAGTGGTAGAAATATCTGGACTCTGTGTCAGTTTCCAGCTTTACTGCTTTAAAGCAGTGAAATGTTGAAAAAATCACTTTGTCTTTCTGAGCCTCAGTTTACTCATATGCGAAACATGGCTATGGATAATTGATATCCACACCCTGCCTCCTTAGCCTTTCTGAAGTGTAAACTAGATAATTCACTCTTTCAACACATGTTTATTGCACATTTGCTATGTCATACATACTATCTTGTTAAAATTTCAGTCGTCACAGTAATCCTTTCCTTTGAGGTAGATATTAGTCATCCTCATTTTACAGATGAGGGAGTGAGGCTGAGGGGGCGCCTAATTTACCAGCTGTGCCTTGTGCAGAGACTAGCTCTGTGCTGGGGACTGTGCTTTTTCCACCCACCCCACTTCCTGGGCTACATGCTGGTGTCAGTTAGCTAGGGCCTGACCATTCCCTTCATCTGGCCCCTTCCCCAGACCTTAGCACTCCTCAGCATTTACCTCTCATGTAGATACACAGCAAGGGGGTATTTTTTGAGACAGTGGAGAGAGCTTGGTGGCACCTGCTACTGAAATAACACTGAGAAAAGTCTAGCGTCTCACTCTCTTCATTTTTTAGAAAGACTGGAGGGGGGAGGGGTCAAGTTTAATCTATTTGAATCTTTACAGGCACTTTCCTTTTTACACGTTTGAAAACTTGAGGGAAGCCCAAGGAATGATTTAGGTTCCCAAGTTTCTGATTTAGGAGGCTCCTTCAGGGCCCAAACAGTCCTTATCACAGAGGTCAGGCTCAAACCCAAAGGTGGGAGCCACTCACCCGCACTCCTCAAAGATGTCCGGGTAGTGCCTGAATAGCACGGGTGGGTCCCGGTCACCCCTAACAGGGGCTCGAGGCACAGCCCGGATTCCAGGTCTCCGGCCCCGTCGCCCCCCAGAGCAGGAGCGGTGGATCCACTGGTGTGCTTCCACCGCAAACTTCCTTTTGAAGCGCATGCCACACTCCGGGCAAGGGAAGGGCCGCTCACCAGAGTGCATGCGCCGGTGGCTGACCAGCAGCGATGGGTAGGTGAAGCGGCGACCACAGTCTGCACATACATGGCGCCGCTGGCTGTCTTGAGAGCTCACTCCGGGTACCGGAACTGGGGGCTGCGCAACTGTGCTCTGGTCCCAGGTCGTTTTTGTGGGTGGTTGTGGTCGTGCTGAGGTCTTGATCACGACTGAGTCAGGGTTATGTTTAACCAGCTCCTCAGGCCTATGCTTCCCAGGAGTCTTTCTGGGTCCCGTGGCTCCTGGTAGTTCTTTTGGTTCCTCTTCCTTATTGTTTGGGGAGTCTCCTGGGAAACAGGAATCAAGATACATTTTAAAACACGTTTGTCTAGATTGTCTCAAGTTATAGGTTACTTTTACTTAAGAAGTGCCAGAAAAGTACTGCCTAGTGACTAACACATAGGCTTTGAAGGACAGGAAACAAGTTCCAATCTCTTAAGAGTGACTTATCTGGTTTCTCACATATCAAATGGGAATCATAATGATTTCTCTACAGGGTTGTTGGAAGGATTAAATCAGTAGAAGCATGTTAAGCATTTAGTAAGTCCTCAATAAGCAGTAGCTAGTATTGTTTTTTTCAATTTTCTGTGGGGTAAGGTGTTTACAGAGAAGGAAACCTATACGCTGGAGATCACTCTGCTGGGGAATGATTAAGAGAGAAGAGCCAGGTTGTCCATGCCTGGGCATTTTCACATGTATGAATTTGCTTTGCTTGAGGAATGTGAAAGGCAGATCTGAAGTCATATCCGTTCTTAGGGTGTTTTAGTTGTTCCTTAAATAGGGAGAATCAGTGGTGTTTTCTACCACAGGGACTCGAAAACGCAAGTTTGGACTTGAGCTTCTGGTTTTCCTACTCTGGTCTCAATATGAGGACTGTCTCAAGTTCTGAAAACTGTACCAGGTTGGCCTCCTTTCCACTATTATCCAACATTGGGTGGCTCTTTCATTCCTTTAGGGATGCTGGAAGTGGGGATCTGGAAAAAAATATATATATTTTGCTAGACAGGAAGCCCTGGAGTGCCAGGTGGGGGTAGACTTGGGACAATCCCTCACCTCTCAGAGCTCCTCCCACGCTTTCCCCCTCCTCAGGATCCTGGGCGTCGGTGCTCCAAGCCTCACTCTCTTGTTCCATCCAAGAGATGAGATCTGGTTTAGGGCCTGGGAATCCTGGGAGAGAACAGGGATCACAGTACTAGCCTGAAAGGCTGTCCTAGGAAAATGGCATCCCCCTGCCAGGGTGAGGGCACTTCCTCAGAATTTATGTTCAATGTGGCTACAGTTTCAGTGCTTCCTGCCTGAAGGAAGTGGATTCGGGATGGAAGAACTCCCAAAGGGGTACCTGAAACCCTGGGAATAGGAGGTGGCTGGTGCTGTTGGTGGAATAATTCGGGATTAGGGCACTCACTCCTTCGAATCCCTTTATCTCATCTCCTTTGTGAACCCCAGTGAAGGAGGAGGGGGCGCTCTGACCGGGCCTCACCGAGCGCGCCCAGGTGGCCGTAGGTCTCCCGCATCACGTCCCGGTACAGGGCTCTCTGCGCCGGCCGCAGACACCCCCACTCCTCCGAGGAGAAGTACACGGCCACGTCCGCGAAGCTCACGGACCCGGGCTTCTTGCAACCAGGCCGGGTCTCCCCAGCTGTGAGTGCCTGGAGCAGGGCTGGGGGCGGCGCCATGGGGCCTTCCAGCCCCGCGCTGTGGCCACCTTGTCCCCAGGGCCACCGCCTCCCCGCTCCCGGATCAGCTTTGGTCCTCTGCAGGAACGGCTCCCCAGGCCACGGCCCCTCCCAGCCTAGGCGTCGGAACGCAGCCCAGGGAACCGAAGTAGCAGAGACTATCTGCTAGGGATTCAGGGATTCTCATAGGGACAAACCAACTCCCTCGGTGTTTATTCATTTCTTGGCAGCTTGGCCATAGACACCCTGGTTGAGGGACCCGGAAGGTGCCTTCAGAAAATATGGCGACATCCTGGGTTCAGTTGTCAAGGATTGCTCTTAAGGGCGCCGTCCCTCCATCATATCGAACATGGCGCCAGTCTGGCTTCTCTGGTCTCACCGTCCACTTGCCCTCAAATAAGATGGCCGCTGAAGGTGGGTTTTTAGAGGGAAGACAAAACCGAGGGGAGGTAGTGGGGAGCCTTCTTGCCTTCAAGAAAGATGGACGGGCCGGCAACTTACAGCGCCTTCCTTGCCTGCACGGCAAAGCGACCGATGATTGGCCCCTAGCGGAGGAAGCGGCTGCGCTGCGAGGCTTGGGACTGGCGGGGCGTTGGAAAAGTCGCCTGTGTCCCCAACTTTCGGTTGGCTGGCTCTGGAACGGATCGAGAACCTTGGGCATTTGTGGAGTCTAAGATTGTGTTTCCGAAAAAAGTCTTCCATGCCTGCCGAGGGCGGAATGCGGTCCCCAGACCCTGCGGGAAGAGGCTCACACGGTGGCCCAACTCGGAGGACAGCGAAGGTAGAAAGCTTGTTCGCGTTTACAGTAGCAACTACAGCTGCGGAGCCCGTCCGACTCCTTGCACCCACGGCTTGGTTTACTCAGCCAATGGACTGGAGCAGCTGGCCAAGAAATGTGTTTGGTGAGGTTGGAATTGGAATGGGGAAATTTTTTATTACGTTTTTTCCAAATTAGTTAATGTATATGGTTTTCAAAAAGTGATATACAAAAGTTATGTAATGAAAAAAGCAGTCCCTCTACCCTTTCCCCGTTCCCTAGAGGCAGCTACTTTTAACCTTTTTTATTCTTTTGAATGATATTGTACATAGAGTAAAATGCACCTATCTTCAGTGTAAAATTCGCCCAAGTTTAGACAAATATATACCATCACATTAACCATCACCCCAGACAAGGTATACGATATTGATGTCACCCCTGAATGTTTCCTTATGCACATTCCCCACTCAAGACACATTTTTTTTAAAGATTTTATTTATGTATTTTTAGAGAGGGGAAGGGAGGGAGGGAGAAAAACATCAATATGTGGTTGCCTCTCGCACGCCCCCTACTGGGGACCCGACCTGCAACCCAGGCATGTGCCCTGACTGGGAGCTGGTGACCTTTAGTTCTCAGGCCATCACTAAATCCACTGAGTCACACCAGCGGGGGTCAGTATGCAGGTTTTTTTATTGTGGTAAAATACAAATCACAGAAATCATTACATATCAGCCATTTTAAACACAATTCATTGGCGTTTTCACTACTAATTTGCTGTTTCTATGGATTTGCTTTTTCTCAATACATTATGTGGCCTTTACTGTCTGGCTTCTGTTTTTAACATAGTGTTTTCAAGATTTATCCATGTACCATGTGTCAGTACTTCATTCCTTCTTATGGCTAAATAATATATAAATAGTATCCATTGTATGGATATACCATATTTTGTTTATTCATCACTTGATGGAGATGGACATTTGGGTAGTTTCCACCTTTCGTGTAGTGCTGCTTTGAACATTTGTGTACAATTTTGTGTAAAAACTTTAAGATGTAACTCAGTCATGCAATTCACCCCTTTAAAGTGTACAGTTCAATGGTTTTTTGGGTATATTACATTATTTGATTATTTTCAGATTGTGGTAGAAAGTATGATATATAATTTGCCATTTTAACCATTTTTATATTAACAATTCAGTGGCATTAATTACATTAACATTGTTGTGCCACCATTACCACTATTTCCAAAATGTTTTTATCATCACAAAAGGAAGCCTAGCCCTGGCTGGTGTGGCTTAGTGGATTGAGCACTGGCCTGTGAACAGAAAGGATGCTGTTTCGATTCCCAGTCAGGGCACATGTCTGGGTTGCGGGCCAGGTCCCTGGTTGGGGGCATGAGAGAGGCAACCAATCGTATCTCTCACACACTAATGTTTCTCTCTTTCTCCCTCCTTCCACTCTTCCTAAAAGTAAATAAATACAATCTTTAAAAAAAAAAAAAGGAAACCCAGAACCCATTTAGCAGTCACTTGCTATCCCCCTCTACCCCACTCCCTGATAACTTTTCATTTTTCTGTCTCTCAACTTGCCTGCCCTACTATCTCATATAAGTGGAATCATGCAATATTTGTCCTTTTGTGTCTGGCTCATTTCACTTAATATAATGTTTTCAAGGTTCACCCACGTTGTAGCATGTATTAGCACTTCATTTTTTTTTAATCCTCACCAGAGGATTCATTTTAGAGAGAGAGAGAGGGAGGGAGAAAGGAAAAAAAAAAAGCAAACATCTGTGTGAAAAAGAAACATATATTAGTTGCTTCCCGATATGTCCTGACAGGGGATGGAACCACAGCCTAGGTATGTGCCCTGACCAGAATCAAACCCACAAACTTTTAGTGTATAAAATGATACTCCAACCAACTGAGCCACCTGGTCAAGGCAGCACTTTATTCTTTTAAAAATTGTGGTAATACATAACATAAAAGTTACCATTTTAACCATTTTAAGTGTACAGTTCAGTGGTATTAAGTACGTTCACATTGTTGTGCAGCCATCACCACCATCCCTCTCCAGAACTTTTTCACCTTCACAAACTGAATCAATACACTTTATTTATTTATGTATCTATCTATCTATTATTTATAAAACTATCTTAACATCTCATCTATTTTTTTTTTAGATTTTATTTATTTTTAGACACGGGGAAAGGGAAAGAGAAAGAGAGGGAGAGAAACATCAATGTGTGGTTGCTTCTTGTGCACCCCCCACCAGGGACCTGGCCTGCAACCCAGACATGTGACCTGACTGGGAATTGAACCTGGAACCTGCAACCCATTGGTTCACAGCCTGCACTTAATCCACTGAGCTATACCAGCCAGGGCTTTACTTACTTATTTTTAGACAGAGGGGAAGGGAGGGAGAAAGAGAGAGAACCATCAGTGTGTGGTTGCCTCTCATACGCCCCCTACTGGGGACCTGGCCCTCAACTCAGGCATGTGCCCTGACTGGGAATCAAACCCATGAGTTGGCTGGTGCTCAATCCATGGAGCCACACCAGCTAGGGCTGAATCAGTACACTTTTAACTCTTAGCCATTTCTTCTGGAGTTTTCATTAAAAAACACACTTTTACTGCTATTTCTTGATACCTTAACTTTAGATATACTATTTATGGACATCCTGCTATGATACTTGCTTAGTTTCTAGCCCCATTCCCCTCACCTCTTTTCCCAACATATTTAGTGTAATAAACTATTATAAATAATGTTTCCTGTACATTCTATATTTCCTTTCTTGTCAACTGTTGTGGTTTTTTAAAAATTGAAATATATTTGACATATAATATTATGTAAATTTAAGGTGTACATGTTGATACATGTATATATTATAATATATACATGTATAAGTTTCCTGGGAAACTTTCCTCCTGAAGCCCTCAGGCCTTTTTCTCCAACTTGGACTTGGCCTCAGCCGTCATGCAGGGTCTTCCCTTTCTGCTCTCCTGGGTTGTATCCTCTGTTTCCTAGACTGAACATCTTTCTGTATTTTAGTCCAGATGGTTCATCTTAATGGATTGTAGCCATAGGTACTAGATGTCTTCATCCTCATGTTTGGAATATTCCTGAAATGAGGCAGGTTATCTGACAGCATTTGCTCAGTATGGGGCTGGTCACTGGAAGTAACAAGACCTTCAAGGTCTCTGTTGGCAGCATCCCACAGTCTGGCCTTGGAACCAATTTTTGCTTGGCTCTCTAGCACATGCTGAGTCTCCCCTTTGTGTTCAAGAATGTTCTTCTTTGCTGATCAAGCTAGTGCCTTTTCAGTCTTCATATTTTTTGGCCCTACCCTTGCTTTTTTTTTTTTACCTGGAATAGTTTTTGGCTAAAGTGTGACTTCTGCTAATTTCGCTTCTACAATTATATGCTCATTTTTATAACTTTAACTTTGAATTCTAGAGGTATCTCACTGCACTATTGTGATGAATAGTGTGGAAATGGAATAAGGAAAAATAAGTGCTCAGAAATGAATCTACTTTTAAATGGAAGGATTAATTTTACCTAAAGAGATATTATTAAGCATATCACAAGTACCAAAAAATACTTTTGTTTACTCAGGTACTGTATTGTAAGTTGATTCTCTTTGCACTAGGGATGGAAAAGACTTATGAAGATGGAGCTAAACAACAAACTTGGCTGTTAACTAGTCAGACTGAAACAAACTTTTAAGACTAAAGCTGTTCCATTATAAGTGGCTGATATCATGTTTTTTTTTTCCTGACAATCATGATAAAAATACAAAGATGCTCTTACTTTCAGATTGTTTTATTGCTCCCCAAATTGTAAATATTTGTTCAATAACCTTGATCAGATAATTATGAGATGTTATAAAATATACAGATCATTATGGTTCATAAATTTTATTTGTCAGTAATACAGTGCATCTGAACTTCAAGGGACAGCTAAAGTTTCTTGCATATAAAGCTCAGTCTTACTTTGAAGTATTAAAATTTAGGTCAGTCAGAATATAAGTGATGGACAAGAGTATTCACTTTCAACTCTGAATTTTTTTTAAGATTTTATTTATTCATTTTTAGACAGAGGGGAAGAGAAAGACAAAGAGAGGGAGAGAAATATCAGTGTGTGGTTGCCTCTCAAGCACCCCATACTGGGGACCTGGCCCACAGCCCAGGTATGTGCCCTGACTGGGAATTGAACTGGCGACCCTTTGGTTTGCAGCCCTCATTCAATCCATTGAGCTACACCAGTCAGGGCTGAATCTTTGAAAATTTTTAAAATAAAATGTTGGAAAGGAGCTGTTATTTGTTCTTCAAACTACAAATACATATTAGGTACCTTCATGTTTTATCTCAGAAAATTCTATGAAGGTGACATTAGCCCCATTTTACAAGTGAGACAAAGGTGCAGGTATGTCCAATAATATGCTTAAGGCCACCCAGCTAGTGGAGACTGAGCTGAACCTGTCCAGGTCTGCTAATTAAAGAAAGATTATGTGGTGAAGTAAAAATAATACCCAGTTCCCATTAATAATCATCTTTGGAACTCAAGGGTTGGGAGAAGCAGTCTTTTGTTGAGGTATTTGAGTCACTAAGTACCACTCCTGGCATGCAGACATGCTTAGTCCTACCCACCTCCATGGTTATTTCTTCAACAACTTCTTGTTCTTAAGTAGGGCTAGCATTTCTAAATGGGTCAGAAAAACCTCTGAATTTCTGACATATTACAGAAAAAATTAGACTGAAGATACTATGCCTTGATTTCATAGAGTAATTCAAGTAATTACTCTAAAACAAACAAAAAAAACCCCTTGCACCCTGCCCTGGCCAGGTTGCTCAGTTGGTTGGAGCATCGTCCCTGTACATCAAAATGCTGCAGGTTCGATCCCAGTCAGGGTACATGCCTAGGTTGTGGGTTTGATCACTGGCTGCGGTGTGTACAAGAGGCAACTGATCCATGTTTCTCTTTCACATCAATATTTCTCTGTCTCTCCCTTCCTCTCTCTCTGGAATCAATAAACATATCTTTAGGTGAGGATTAAAAAAATAAAGTCAACATGTATTTCCAGCTTCTGTGACCCAAGAATACATCTTTATTCAAAAGATGTAAAATCCAGGGAGCATGCAGATATCTGAAGAAGAAAAACATTGTAGTCAATAATTCATAAAAGTTTTGAAAAAATTTAAATTCATTAAGTTTAATACCTTTGCATGCTGTGAGCAGAGTGAGCATGGGAGCCTTTTTCCTCTTTATGTTCATCTCTAGGTCTTAAGAGCAGAGTGCCAACAAGGCTTGATGCCACATGTATCTCCTTGCCAGATATTTCACGTGCATTGACTAAAAGGCAGAATCTTTTAATGAGCTTCCCCTTCAGCTCTTCTTTTTCCTTGCTCCCATCCCTGGATCCTAAGACAGGGAAAAAGATAAAACTTGAAAGTTAGCAGCATGTTCCAGACCATGACCTGCCCTGGAGGCACCATGAATAGCTGAGTATATGGCCCCCTGGAAGTAAGGCTTGAAAGCCACTGTCTTTTTTTTTTTTTTTTTTTAAGATTTTATTTATTTATTTTTAGAGAGGGGAAGGGGAGAGGGAAACATCAACGTGTGGTTGCCTATCCAGCGCCCCTAGTGGGAGACCTGGCTCTTAACCCAGGCATGCGCCCTGACTGGGGATGGAACCCATGACCCTTTGAGCGAAGGCTGGCGCTCAATTCACTGAGTCACACCAGCCAGGAAGAAAACCACTGTCTTTAAGTTAAGCAGAATAGCCCTGAAAACTGGAGATAAATGAAGAGTCAACAATATTAAGCCCCTACTCTGTCTCAGTCATTGAGGGTAGTGATGGTCCCAGCCTTTATGGAGCTTACAATCCTGAACCTGTTCATGATACTCTTGCAAAATGGACATTAAATAACCTCCCAGGGTGCCACTGAAAGCCATCATCCAAAAGTCTACACTTGGACTGCACTCTAGCTTCCACAGGAACAACTTCTGGAAACAGATATTTATTATGACGTCATGGCTGCAGAAAAAAACAAGTTTTCTTTAAAAAAAAAAACCCTCTGATGAATGGTATTATCCATTACACTGTGGTCCACACAATTAGTATCCAAAAGGAACGTTTGTCTTCATTCAATCACAACAAAAATCAAATTACATGAGCTTCCCCTGCCCCTTAACTGCTTTGGAAGCACAAGCTCTATTTTGCATTAAACTGCGGTTGTCCAGTATGATTAAGTGGTATTATAAGGCCCAACTTGGCTGTTCTCTTGAGCAATTTTGTAATGGGATAGGAGCCTTCCTGGAGATGTGATGCAGGGAGACATGATAAGGCTTTGGAGGTGTAGTGTGTGCTGAGGATCTGAGAGAGGAGAGAGGGTTCTCAAAAGTCACATACTGGGTGAAGTATGTGAAATGTTAAAGTGAAGTATCTGTGACCTTTTCCTTGCCTCTACTGACAGTTGCTGGGCTCTCACCCTCTGGATCCTGGGCCTCCTGGCTCCACGCTTCCACCTCTTCTACCCAAGAGATAAAAAAGGGTTTGGGTCCTGGGAATCCTGCGAGGAGAAACATTGGACTGGGCTGAGGACCCGAAAGAGAGTGAGGCTGCTTCCTCAGTGCCCCACACTTCCAGGCCACTTGCCTCTAGGGCCAACAATCCCTCTTTGCACAGACTACAGGGTCCAGGCCCGAGGCCCGGCCCTCACCGAGCGCGCCCAGGTGGCCATAGGTCTCCTACTTCACGTCCCGGTACAGGGCCCTCTGTGCGGGCCGCAGGCACCCCCAAACATCGGTGGGGGTGGGGGGATACACGGCCACGTCCGCTAGGTTCACAGCCCCTGAGCGGCTTTCCCTCCTCCGCCAGTCAGGCCTCCCCGGGCACACCCTCCGGGAGCGGGACCCCTAGCAGCGAAGACCTCTCAGTACTTCGCAAAGAAAGGTTCCCAGGATTATGGAAATGCTAGAGCTTTCCCGGCTTTCCTCAGAAAAAGGAATCAAGGGCTCACAGTCCTGCCCGTAACCAAAATAGCGCCTCTGCGGCCTCAACATCCCTGGCGCTTCCTCTTCGTCCTTTCCTACCTAGGAGGAACGGGGTCAAGAGGTTGGACTCACAGAGTAAGAAACCAGTCGGTGATGTGCGTTGATTGGACAGCGTCGGCGGACGGGAAGAAGGGAGGCTGTGATTGGTTTTGCCAGAGCGGCCTCTTCGAAAGCTGCGAGTGAGGAGCGACTGGTCTGGAGCTGGCAGGTGGTGAGCGTCCCCAGGCTCTCCTGATTTGGCTTTCCCAGGCCTGGAGATAGGAGAGGGGTTTCTTTTCTGGCCGGTTGAAGCTCCTCCCTTCTGATATTTACTTGAGGTCCGGAAGTCCGGGACTTGGAAGTGAATAAAAGCTGAAGGGCTAAAACCGAGGTGGATGGAGCCGGGAAGGAGAGTTGGGGGGGTCTGCACGAACACCGTGCCCTGGGGACTCATGTGCGGTTAGCCCTAGCCCGCTGTGGGAACAGCTTTCCATTGAGTATTTGATTTGGCCCATGCTCAGAGGTCACAAATGCCGTCCCTCTTTCAGACACAGAACCCGAGCGATAGAAAGGCCAGGTCACTGATAACCAAGGCAGAGTCAGATTCAAAGTGTTAGAAAATAAAATTTAGCCGAGTAAACTTGAAGATATAATTGGCTTTATTAAGCAGTTCATATATCCGGCAGCATCCCATCTCGTAACTAGAAGGGCGCTCCAAGGTGTACAAATGGAAAGATTTTATAGGAAGAAAGTTGGGGCAGGAGTGCTCTTAGCGAGGAAAAAAAAAGAATTATTTTGGGGCCTGCAGATATTTTTTTGTATGAAGAGAAAGGATATTTTTTGTATGTTTTTATTTCCTAGATTGCCTCTTTTGGTGGAGTGGGGGAATGGAGAAGGGTCCCCCACACAGATTACCTTCCTAGTGTTGACCAGAAAATTCCATATTGGTTGATCAAGATTATGTTTCTGGGAGAAGTTGAAACTGCAATTAGATCAGGTATTAAATCTAGGTTTGGTATCATGGACTTTTAGCATGAGTGTCGCCATTTGGGGCCTGTGGTTTTTTCTTTAAACCTGGCTCCCAGGTTTAGCTAAGTGCTTAGTGTAGAACCCTGCACAAAGTAAGTACTTAATAAGTATGAATTTATAGTTGTAATTATGAGGAGGGACCCAAAAAGCCAGAATTTATTTATATATTTTTTTAAGAATGTATTTATTTATTTTTAAAGAGAGAGGAAGGGAAGGAGAAAGACAGGGAGAGAAACATCAATGTGTAGTTGCTCTCACATGCCTCCTACTGAGGACTTGGCCTGCAACCCAGGCACATGCCCTAGACTAGGAATTGAACCAGTGCCCCTTTGTTTCACTGGCTGACACTCAATCTACTGAGCCACACCAGCTATGGCAAGAGTCTTAAAAGAACAGTTCACTGAAGCACAAGGCAGCCTCCACAACACCACCAGCTGGCACTCAACACGGATGGGTTCCTAGAACACTCACTTAGCTGGGGAAGCCTGTACTACAAGGGGCCTGCGGTCCAGAAGATAATTCCAGGTTTCAGGGGGGTCTCTCATATATTTCTGTACCCGGCCTTAATCAGAAAACCTATGTACAAATTATAGCTCATAAATTAATGATAAAACTGGGAAATGAATCAGATAATCTCTTAAGATTGTTTTTTCAAGTATTTCCAACCAAGTATTCAAAAGAGCAGAGAAGAAAAGTTCCAACACTGACTGGTGTGGTTCAGTGGATGAGAGCCTACCTGTGAACCAACAGGTCAACAGTTCAATTCCCAGTCAGGGCACATGCCTGGGTTATAGGCCAGGCCCCAGTAGGGTGCCCGAGACAGGCAACCACATACTAATGTTTCTTTCCCTTTCTCCTTCCTTTCCCCTCTAAAGATAAATAAATAAAATCTTTTCTAAAAAAAAAGAAAAGTTCTAGAGGTGTAACAAAAAGCTGTCCACCCCAGCAGTGAAACCACTTTGAAGACTAGTATGGCTTTAAAATTCATGTAAATTTGCATACTATTTTATAATATAACCAAATTCAAAAAAATATGTACTCAAAAGTAAGTTTTGCAAGTGTTGAACACTCTTATACCACTGGTAGGGTATAAGTTGTTACTACCACTTTGGAAAACTGGCAGCATCTACTAAAGCTGAATATATACATACACTATGACCCAGCAGTTTCACTCCCAGGTATACACCTAACAGAAATGCATACATATGTTTACTGTAAGACATGTGTGCAAATGTTGACAGTAACACTAGTTGTAGCAGCCAAAAACTGGAAACTATCCACAACAGTAAAAAGAATAAATAAATTATAGGATATTCATTGAATGGAATACTCTTCGGGTACGAGAATGGTCTACAACCACATGCATAATGTCGATGAATCTTGTAGACAAATGAGTGAGAGAAGCCAGACACAAAATAGTATATATAATTCCATTCATATAAAATTAAGAAATGGAAAACTAAGCCAAGCTATTAAGAATCAGGATAGCCCTAGCCAGGTGGTTGCATTGACGGGAGAGACCTGGTTCTTCTTGCTGACGCATGTAAAGAATTACATATCAGCAAATCTAGTAGTGTGTAATCAGTTTATTAGTGGTCTGCTTCCATGGAAGAGAACAGGACCGGGTAGAATAGAGGGTGAAAGGGAAAGTTTCAGAGTAAAGCAAGGTGAGAGAAGCAAGAGCGGCTGAAGGCCAGGGTGGCAAGCCCCTGGGCAGCCTAAGGCCGGGTGGCCAGAGGCCCTGTGGCCCGAGAGCCAAGAGCCTCCTGAGCCCCAGAGAGAGAGAGAGAGAGAGAGAGAGAGTCTTTTGTTCTCAGGATTTATATAGTTGGTGGGATAGGAGGGGAAAAGTTACATATCAATTAACGGGTAAATGTGCCAGGTGCCAGCTTTCCTGGGAGGATATGACTACCCAAACTTAGGTATGTGTGGGAGTCTGTTAGCCCGAATTCCTATCTTGCTCCAGACTCCATTTGGTCATCTTGTTGTAAAACAAATATGTGACAGGAGGCAGTTAATTAAAATTGGGGCAATTTCCAACTTTATTTATGGGCTCTTTCTGTGAGCATCAGGGACCCTTTCCCACATTCAGGCCTTGGGATGAAAGCACAGTTTCAAGGACTTTCTTTCTTGCTAATATAGTGTTTCTTGTGATATTGAAACACCTGGCGATATTATCAGACCAGGCTCAGGACTGCTGAGTTAGCGTGTGAGACTTGTCTCCTTCTTCCTCCCTGCCTCGGTTTACTATTTATTCCACCTAATTGGTAAAAGGTGTTTCCTGGCAACCAGGGTGCTAAATGTTGGCTAGTGACAGTATTGCAGTCTCAGAGTTCTTCCTATGCTGTCTCCTGCTTCAGTTGAAGCATCATCCCAGCACCAAAAAGGTTATGGGTTCAATCCTCAGTCAGGGCACATACCTAGGCTGCATGTTTGATCTCGGGCCAGAGTGTGTCCAGGAGGCAACTGATTGAAGTTTCTCTCTCACATCAATGTTTCTCTTTCTAAAAATCAATGAACATGTCCTTGGGTAAGGATTAAAAGAAAAAAAAGAATCAAAATATGTTACTCTATTGGCTTCTAAGGTATTTACTAATACTATGTTTCTTGATCTAGATGCTTATTGCTCAGATGTGGTTAATTTTGTTAAAATTGTTTTTTCTTTTATTTAATTTTAGAGAGAGGGGAAGAGAGGGAGAAAGACAGGGAGAGAAACATCAATGTGTACTTGCTTCTTGAGCACCCCTCATTGGGGACCTGGCCCACAACCCAGGCATGTGCCCTAACTGGGAATCGAACCGGCGACCTTTTGGTTCACAGGTCAGCGCTCAGTCCACTGAGCCACACCAGCCAGGTCTATAAATAACAATTCTTAGAAAAGAAAACAGAGATCTCTCAAAACATTTGAAAATATAATATTAAAAAAATTTAGATTTTATTTATTTTCAGACAGAGAAAGGGAGGGAGAAGGAGAGGGAGAGAAATATCAATGTGTGGTTGCCTCTCATGTGTCCCCCCACCACCTTGGGACCTTGCTCAACCCAGGCATTTGCCCTGACTGGGAATCAAACTGACAACCCTTTGGTTTGCAGGCCAGCACTCAATCCACTGAGCCATACCAGCCAGGGCTGAAAAAATATTATTTCATATTATTCCTTATAGTAGAGATTGTACTATCAAATGAGCAAGGATTAAAAAGTTTTTTGATACTCCTATTCAAAATAATACCCTCATCACTTTCATCCACTCATACTGCACTGACTACTTCCTGATATTGTCTCCCTTTTCCTTATAGCCTCTAATCTCCATAGGGGCAAGGATGTTGTATTGTGCACTACTACATCTCTATCTTCTAGAACATTACATGGCATTTTGCAGTTGCCCAAGATAATTGTCAAATGAAAGAATGAATGATACACTGTGTTATTAAAGGTGTATGTAGAGGAACTCTCGTATATTGCTAATGATAGCATAAATTCATTCATTCACCCTCCTTGGAAAGCAATTTGGTAATAACTATCAAAATTACAAATATAACATTTGTGTAATTGTTTATTGTTTATTGGGTACAGAGTTTCTATTTGGGGCAATGAAAAAGTTCTAAAAATAGTGGTTATGGTTATAGAATATTGTGAATGCGCTGTATATTTAAAAATTGTTAAAATGGTCAATTTTACCACAAAGAATCACAATTTTGCACCCTTCATAGTAATTTTTAAAACATACTTATTTTGCTTCCAACCATATTTCTTGAACACCACTCAGAATTTGTACAAAGTATCCTGTGAGTATAATATTTATTTTATTTGCAAGAATGACTCATTGTTATCAGTTGATTCATTGTTAGCAGCAGGACCAGGAACACAGACTTACAACATGGCAACAGCTATAAGCAAAACTACCTGATCCTGTTGTGGTATCTTTTCTTCTAGGGGCTTCTGCCTCTTTCCCAAATATATTAACATTAACTTTCAAATCGGCATGTCAGCATTTTCTGCTTTTGCTTTCAGTGGTATCCTCCAAACCAGTAA